AAAAGAAGTAAGCTATCAATAAATTAAAGAGTTATGTTAAATTGTCTCTGGTTAGATTTGATTATTTTAATTCCTAATAATAAATAGTTTTTATTAGGTACTAATAATAATAATAATATTGTTTATTTAATTATGCCATTTAAAACGGCATTTACTTGTTATCTTAGTAAATAAATAACTTGTTTTTTTTTTTCTCAATTGAAAGTAAAATCGGTAACTGAGCTTCACTTCAAACTAAATATACTGTTAAATAAGAAATAACGTTTACAATGGAAAAGATTTATTGTTGGGTTTATGGGTTCAGCCTCTAAGGGTCCAAGCGGTTTATTAGGAGGACAATCTTTTCTACGCTAATTGTACATTTTTATGATACTTATTTTAACTTAAAAAAAATTGAATTGTTTTTTGAGAATATACACATAATGGATGATTATTATAAATACAAAGAGGAAAAAAACAAAACAAAAAAAATTCTTTCATTGAAAGAAACTGCTTTCAAGCATATTGTTACAAAAAATAATAACTTTTGTTAGCTATCGTACGTATTATTTAGTTTGCTTTTGTTTTTATTATTTGTTGTTCATTATAATACTATTTTATTTTCTTAATTTATTTTTTTAAATGCCTATTATGTCACTAAATAAGTAATAGATAATGACTACTTCATATTAAGAATGCTTTGAAATTATCAAAAATGTACGAGATTTTATGAGGGGTTCATGAAGTTAATGAGATTACCGGAGAAAGTAAAAAAATCTGAAATCTAAAATAATTCGTCCTAGACCGATGAAAAACTGTCGTTAGTGCTATTTTAATACCTATTTTTTAAAACAACTTGAAAAATGATTATTTTTAAAATCCAGTAAATTTTTTAAAGTGTGTATCTGAAAGAGTTAAAAAAATTACCTTTTGAACCCTCGTCTCCAGACTCGGTCCTATAGCCACCAGTGTTTGCTGCAAGTATTTCTTATCCTTCGCCTTTTTGAAAAACGGATGTTTCAACAATTCCGAAGCTGTGGGCCTCTTTGATGCATCCTTTTGCAGACAGTCTGTGATCATTTTTCTGAACGTTTTACCATAGGCTTTATACTGATCCTTTTCCTCGGCTCCTGTGTCTAAATTCGGGGGATCGTTTTGAAGAGTGAGCATAAGTACCTTCATTGGGGGGTATTTGTGATATGGGGCCGTGCCAGTTGCCATTTCAATAGCGGTGATGCCAAACGACCAGATATCTGCCTTGAAGTCATAACCGTGGTCCTATAAAATATTATTAATTGAATTCTTTTTTTTTTTTAAGTATGAGTACCTGTTCCATGACCTCGGGAGCCATCCAACAAGGAGTTCCAACAAATGTGTGTCGCACTTTCTGCCGAGAGAGGTCTCTACCGGTTGCCAACCACGCAGATACGCCAAAATCCGCAATTTGGACCGTGCCATCTTCACCAAGCAAAATATTCCCAGCTTTAATATCTCTAAAACAGTAATATTAACTCACATACAGAAATGACTAAATTAAATACCTGTGAATCTGACCGTTACTGTGGAAGTATTCGAGACCTTTCAAAACTTCTCTTAAAACTGTGGCAATTGTTGATTCGTCGAATACTCCATGTTTGCAGTTTGATACACGCGTCTTGTGTTTAATTATGTCCAACAGACTGCCTCCTATAGAATTACATAAAAAATATTTTTTCGGAATAAAGTTTATGTTAAAATACTTTAGTCTGGTATTTATTGACATATCACGTACTAGTCTCTATCCGTTTAATTTAAAACATGATTATTGCTAGTCGCATTGTAAAACAAATAACATGACATCACGTACCTACCCATGGTACTCAAATAAACGGAACGATGTATTAATTCAGGAATCTACTTCACAATTAAAATCACAATACGGTTTATTTATTTATAAAAAACAACTGCTTAATTAAGCAAATTTAGCAAACTATGAATTTAAGCCAATCCTGTCTAAACACTTATTGCCATAAGTAGCTTAAAAATCTGTATCTTCACTTTCAAGGATGTTAAATCTTAAGATTCGCATAAGAATACCGTGCGATCAAAAAAAAAAAATTAGAGTAGGCGACGATTAATATTCTACAGTTGGCAACACGTAGGCTGAGAATCTGGTCTGGAAAATTTCCACACAACCTGAAAGTGAAAATGACCGTTTTTGTCTTGTACAGCACTTTTCTAATAAGTTGCAACAATAAAGGTTTTCTAAAGTGAACATTATTTCACTCAAAATGAATAAAACGCACACTTGTCAAAGTTTCCGCTGACATTTGATGTCAAAAATCAGGATTGCCATCTGAAGGACTTTAACCACCGCTTACTCTAATTTTTTTTTTAATATTAAAATACACACAGTACATAAAATTTAGAATACTTTGGTGTTTTTTGAACAAACGATTGCTTGAATGGCTTTCTGTAATAAGTGATTTATACTATTTTTTCTATTTTGTCCTGTTTTTAAAGAAAAAAAAGAATTTAGGAAATTTTGCTTAGTTGGTGACACGCCCATAGAAAAATGGTAAGATATCAGGAACATGGAAAAAATGTTAAAAAAATTTATCTATAAAAATTTCGAAATTATGAGAGTTTAAATTTTGCACATTGACTCTATTTATTTCTGTTGGAAAAATAATTTTCCAAGTTTTTTTGCTACAGGTTATTTGAAGAGAAAACAAAGAATCTACATCCTAAATTGTAACTATGTTCAATGTTATTTGTGGCTTTTATTAGCAATTTTTTTGTAGTTTTACTAGATAATTGTAAAAAAAATCAGTATCATTAAATAGACATAAAAAAATGTCAAATGTCAAATTTTTTTGACAGATAGAATTTTCCTAAATTTTCTCTGGGGCGCGAGTTCTGGCGCATCCTGTATTTACAAAAAAATAAGTCTTGTGATTTTTTTACGCCTAGTTGTAATGTGAGCACTTCACATGTGTAATTGTAAAACATAAAGAGGCAATTACATCTATAAGGTTGTGTAATGTTTTAATGTCCGGTTAAAACAATTTGGTAACATAAAACAATGCCTGGAAAAAACATAAATTGTATGTTTTTAGAAGCACACCGTTTAAAACGGTAAAAATGTGTTACACTGTATTTTTTTATTATTTAACTGTAGCTACTGATAATTTAAAACCTTATCTAAAGATAAAAAACACAACTAATTTCATATTTCGTGAATGATAATTTTAGGCTTTTGTTAATTCCATATAAAAAGACAGTCTACCTTCAAGTAGTCTCAGGACAAGCCATAGTTCCTCCCTTACAACAAAACTTGTATAGTAAGTGACCACATTTTCGTGGTTGCAGCTCGACATTGCTTGAATTTCTTTGAGTAATTCATCCATTGAAGTATTCCATTTTTCCAAATTGATTCTTTTGATGGCACATTTCTCATTTCTGGGCTTACAAAATGCTCCATGGACCACTGCTGTCGCTCCAACACCTAATGAATAGAAAACAATGTCAATGAACTCAATCTCGACAAAATTACAATAATGTTTCGACCAATAAACAATTAACCTAATCAGAATAAGGTCAAATGAAATCAATTGTGCGCCTCAAATCACTAGTTTTAAATTAATATTATAACCTTTTCGAATTCAGTGAATTGGTACACTGTCACACTTGGATTGTTCTTGAAAATTCACCGAAACGATTGAAAAAAAGCAGAATTTTTATTTTTCTCGGTAATACCACTGATTACACTTCTGAAATGTAAAAAACCAGAACCGGAATTAAAACACCAAAAAAGTACATAACCTCCAAATCGAAGCAACTCGTGTTTATTCGGCCACAATTACACTTATTTCACTGGTAAAATACACCAAAAGAAAGCACTTTTCTTTCTTTTATAATATTTATGTGAATACTAACCGATTACTTTGCCTAATTCGTAATCATCCTTGGAATTTGGCCAAGGGACTGACGGTTGAGACGTTGACGCCGCCATCTTTCTCGACAGTATGTTTCCTATATTACCGATCGACTGGCGAGCAGCTCGTGCGCAGCCGCTAAATGATAACGTGTGTTCAAATGTTGATGATTTTTGACGAAAGGTGCCTTGGGTCCCAAGGGGCAAATCCTCGGATATTTTCCTAAAATTGGAACATTATTTTATAAGACTGTCGTGAAATAAATGATCTTTGAAATCGGATTTATTTTTGTCATGATGGTATCTCCTAAATTTATTAGTAACGTAACAATTACTACCAACATTGAAACTGAGAATTGTAATTGGAAACAAAATCTCAAATTAAGAATAACGAACCATGGATAAAAAGAATCCCCAAATTTTAAAAAAATGTTAAAATTTGGTTTGTCAGTCACAGTCAATGGACATGGAATTTTGGACGATTTGTCATTCGTCAGCATAAAAATGTAAACCGGGCTTTAGGCAACTAACCTCACTTTCGGTTTTTCTAATTTTTATCTTGATAGCTAAAGAAAAAATGACAACAAATCAAAATAATTTATTGAACTTTGGTATATAAAAACACGTATTCCTGATATTATTGTATCCAAAAATCGACGCCAGAAATAAATTTCAACTAAAACTTTCAAATTTTAGTTTCAAACGTCAATCATAATGACAATAAAGTCTAGCTTACATTGACATTTTTTGAACTAACATAAAATTGATGTCCAAAATTCCGTGTCCGAGAAAAGAGTAATTTATGTATTGCTGGGTCAAAATTCTATTACTTTGAAACGTTGTATTTAATTTAATTTTTTTTCATTAATAAACGAACTTTAATCATCAGTGGAAAAGTTTTTTTTTTAATAGAAATAGTGCTTTTTAAGTAGATGATGATTTTACATATTGAAATGATTTGAAAGGGAAACGTTGATAATTTTGCAAATATTGTTTCAAAGAATTACACTTTTAATTAATGTACCTCTATCGGCAATTAGACTGATACAAATCCCACATTTAATTTCATTTTATCTAAAATATACAGATCAAACCAATATTGAATAAAACAATATTTAATTAGTCTTTTGATACTGGCGTTCAGCAAATGCGTTAAAATTTTCTAATGCTTTTATCACAAATCGACTCTGAATCAATTGATATGATCCACTGTGAACCATAATCTGCAATGTTATGCAAATAATTTGGCAAATATATAAAAATTGCAGATACAAGCAAAACATTAGTTAGTTGGTTAAAATAGTCCTAAAATGTTACCTCTTGTGGTGAGTATTTTACCTTTTTCCTAGCGATAGAGTGCTGAGAAAACGATGATTTTCAAAAATTAGACTTTCATTTGCCGTTTCCATTTTGTGCACTCCGGTTCTTCTTTTTTTATTCTTGCAACTGAAAATTAATTAAGATTAATCAGTCGCACGCGCCATAACTCTATGAATAAACACAACAAGGCTAATTTGACAAGTAAATAATAAAGAGACTGTAGTATTTGGTACTATATTTAGCAATATAGCATATGGTAATGTACTTGTAAGGTCAAATTAATATTGGGCTTATTTACGACTCAAAAGAGAAATAGGTAATCTTAAAAACATTTAGGCATATACATAAATGGATTTTATACTTTATAACAAAACTAAAATTTAGGGAAACTTAACTTTGAATATATCGTGAAAATTTGAAAAATTACTCTTTGTTTAATAGGTACTACACAAAAAATACTTGTGGCGGTATTTTGCGACCCCCTGTATAAAAAATTGAAGATAATTTTATACAAATACCGTAGTTATATTTAGATGTCTCAAGCTCGGCCAATAAAATGCAGAAACTTATTATTTTTTGGTGTCTTTACCTGTTTTCGCTTTTAATGCTGGAGTTTTTGTCTTCTTCGGTTTTTTTCATGGTCATTTGTGTTCGAATTGTTTGTAATATCACAGTGTTGCACAAATAGAACTTGTTTTAATGGAAAATATCCGCCAAGTTGAGCACATTTGTAACTGCATCACTTCATGTTTAAAACTTTTTTGCCTTAAATTTTTTGTTAAAAATTTATCTATAAGACTGATACACATACCTGCAAGGCTGCTGGTTTTAGAACATCACAATACGAACTTGAATTCGTAATTCTCTCCATTTAATCAAACTTAATGTCTCTATACAAGACCTTAGGGGCCATAGAAGAAAATGATCTAATTTATCCATTAAAATCAATTAGTAGGTTTTATACGTAGGTGACATGCTTAACAACATCATATATACAGACTGTACCGTAACTGAGTGACTTGTTTTGGATGGAATAAAACACATTTTTTTTGTATTTTATTTTAGTGCGTTTTCTTTTTAGGTATTAGTTGTTTTTTCACTTTTATCAAAAAATTCAGCAGAGCAGTGGTTGATGAATTACAAGTATGACACTGATTCTGCAGAAGAGGGAAACATAAATAATTTCAATAATGATGATTATAATAATTATGATTTTGATGATTATGATAGCGGATGGGATCAAATGGAACATGATATTCAGCTTCTAGAAGACACTAATTCTCTAGAAATTCGAGGGTTACCATCAGCAGGACACATGGTAAAAACTTTGAGTTTTTGTTTATTCTGATTTTCTTAAGTGTTTTGTTATTTTAAAGAGGAAGAATAGGCAAGGCTGTCGAGAAAGAACAGAAGTGTACGAAGTTCCAAAAAGTTCAATACATGACGAGATATATCCAAAGAAATACCGCAACATAACTTGTGAACCCGCTGAAGGACATGACATAACGGTGGTAGGTTTTTTAAGACAAAAAGTTTTAAGTTTTTCACTTTTAAATGCTTTTAACAGTATCCTCTTTGTCACGTGTATAATCCAAAATGTGAAACAGCCCATCGTGAAGTTCCCATTTTTAAAAAATACGTCAATTCAGGAAAAACTTGTTGGAAATATGAAGCCACTATTCATGTGCAAACTGGATGCAAGTGTCCTAATAACTGAATGTGTATAGAACTGGATTTTCCTTAATATTTTTATCAGATTTATATTTGTATGAGTAAATAAACCTTACTACCGAACAAAGTTTTTTTTTAATTATAGAATACCAAAAATTGCAAATTTTGTTGGTGTATATTTGGTTGCCTATCAACAAACCCGAAGCATGTAGGCAATTAGTAATACACTGTGTCGAGATAATAAAACACGCATTTTGTTTTAACTTTTTTATTGTAAACTATCTAAACTTTTTAACAACAAAATTAGTCAGTGTTGTCATGGTTTGCCTGTCTGTCCCAGACGTAAATCAAAATAATACCATTTTTGCACAATCAGTCCTCAATTTTGTAGAAATTCCTCTACTCTTCGTGAAGTTTTGGATTCTTAGAAAACGTAAAAAATGTTTGTTGGATGTGACACAAATTTGCTTGAGTAGAAGTAAAAACATTTCTTTTAATCATCAATAGAAAAGTTTTTTTTTAATTAGAAAAAATTCTTTTTTTATGTAGAACAAATCTCGTCAATTTATTAAAATATCATTTTGCTCTGCAAATATTGTTTCAAAGAATTACGCTTTTAATTAATGTACCTCTATCGACGTTATTGAAACTGATACAAATCCCACATTTAATTTAATTTTATCTAAAATATCCAAACCAGACTTGTGACTCAAAATTGGATAAAAGATATGTAATTAGTCTTTTGCTACTGGCGTTCAGCAAATGCGTTAAATTTTTCTAATGCTTTTATCACAAATCGACTGAATCAATTGATATGATCCGCTGTGAACCATAATCTGCAACGTTATGCAAATGATTTGGCAAAAATATAAAAACTGCAGTTACAAGTAAAAATTTATTTAGTTGGTTAAAATAATCCCAAAATGTTACCTCTTCTGGTGAGTATTTTATCTTTTTCCTAGCGAAAGGATGCTCAAAACGATGATTTTCAGAAATTTGACTTTCATTTTTTTGTTCTTGCAATTGAAAATTGATTGAGATTATTTACAATTTACTATATTTTATTTTGTGTACTTTTCCTTTTTAGGCATTACTTGTTTTTTCACTCTTATCAAAAAATTCAGCAGAGCAGTGGTTGATGAATTACAAGTATGACACTGATTCTGCAGAAGAGGGAAACATGAATAATTTCAAAATTGATGATTATAATAATTATGATTTTGATGATTATGAGAGCGATTGGAATCCGGAGAATACTGATTCCTTAGAAATTCGAGAGATACTAAAAGGATACACGGTGAAAACTCGAGTTTCCGTCTATTTTGAAATGTTTTTAAAGTGGTTTATTATTTTATAGAGGACGAATAAGCAAGGTTGTTCAGAAGAAATATCAGAATTGCACGATGTTCCTCTAAGATCCAATAGGCATTCAATATATGACGACATATATCCAAAAAAATACCGCAATATAACTTGTGTACCCGCTCATGAAAAATCTAACATGGTGGTGGTAGGTTTTTTAAGACAAGAAAGTTTTAGGTTTTTTACTTTATAAATACTTTTAACAGTATCCTCTTTGCCATATGTATAATCCAAGGTGTGAAACAGAACATCGTGAAGTTCGTATTTTCAAAAAATATCCAGGAAAATCTTGTTGGAAACACATAGACACCTTTTATAGGCAAAATGGATGCAGATGTTTTTAGATTTGGCCCAATGAAAAAAATAAAACAAACTAACTAAGAAATGTATATAGGACTGGATTTTCTTAATATTTTTAACACATTCAAATTTGTATGAGTAAATAAACCTTACTGCTGAACAAAGTTTTCGTAAAATCGTAAAACCTAGGACATATAACAATAAATGTCATAAATCATTTTGTCGTTTTAATTGGTAATAGGTAGGCAATTAACAATGCACTGATAATAAAAACTTCTACTAGTAGGCTGTGCTTATTACAAGTAGCGCCACCTTCAGCTTGTGATTATCATTAATCATTGCAACCAATCATTTTCTGCATTATCTAAATCATGCGAAATGACATGTGTACTCTTATTCGCAGTTGTTGGTATTTATAAAAAATGATAGTGGCTTGCGCCCTGGGGCTTATATTTTATTAATTCCGTCGTCGTAGAGTGTATAAAGTGTTTATCGAATTTTTTTCTAATAAAAATTAATTTACAGTGTTTAAATCATTGTGATTCCTGTTAATTGAATTAAATCAAGTCGGCCACTATGATTGTAGCAAAGGTAAGCTGATATTCTTATTGCGAACCGCCGCAATATTTTATAGGTTATGTAGATTCTTAATCGTTGTTTTAGGTTTACATACATGATTCGTTATCATCTAGTAATAAAAGTTATTTTGAGGTGATAAGAAACTGATTTAAGTGTAATAGATTAAGATTGGCCGTTCCGTTATGTGTGATTTACATGACCTTTGTCAATGCATTGGCCTAGTGTAACGCAATTCGTAGAAAATTGATCACGTTTGAGGTTATTTGATTTTTTGGAGGCGTAGGTCAATAACGGACTAAACTGTTGAATAGATTCATTTAAGAATTATCTAACAATCACTTGGTGATAATAATTATTGTGCAAATTGTATTAACCTTGACTTCTGCTTTTCTTTATTAAAGATAATATGTAACTGGATACACTTACATATTTTATAACTTGTTTTCTGAGAGCAAAATTTTTTACCTCATTTAAAGCTCCTGGATTTGTCTCCTTATAAAACGCTTATTTATAATAGATTACAAGAGTATTTCGAAGTAAGGATATATCGGGGTTAAAAAAAGTAAATATTTCGATGTATAGATAAGACGTTTTCCCAAAATAATGATACTATTTTTTTATTTGTGTTATAAACAACCAGTAAAATGGATCAAAAACAATTTCTGGGTGGCAGTAAAACTTGCGTCACCCTGTACATGTCGTTTTTAAATTTCGTTAATTTTCTGCAGATTTGGTGTTGAAAGGAGCCTCTCAATTGGCTTTCTCGTCTAATTTTGAGCATTTTTCGAGCATGGCCAACGTAACATAGTAAATGAACACCCGTGGGGACGAACCCCGACCCAGGGGTACTTTCTGTGGAAAAAGCTCAACCCTTCAAGAGAAAGTTGCCCAATTTTATTACGCACACGGTCTGTTTTGTAGTACCTATCCCGGGGCTTTGGTCTTCGTCGCAATTTGTGCAACTTTGCTCTCTTGGTAAGTAGCCTATTACAAGCATTACGTAAGAATTCAAGGTTGTAACAGACTATCGTATGATAATAAAGGCATTATTTCCAGTTATCCATTATTAAATTTGCCTCTCCCTGGAAATTCACCTTTGCAAACATGGACGTCGAGTGTGAATTCCAGTTCGAATGTACCACCTTTTTGTTACATTCAACAAGTTGTCCTGAAGAGTACTGTCCTGCCGTGGGGGCCCGAATTACACCTAGGTGACGCTTTCAGAGCGCCTCTTTACGAGGCTTTTAAACTTTTGGAAGTGGTTAGAAACTACCAGGATGATTCCACGAAGAAAACCTTAGGACACGTGTGTCTTCATGTCGAGTCAATTAAGAAAAGTAAATCAAACTATAAAAATATTTTGCCGGAGTATAGTTGTTTGGTCCTGTCTCCTGCAAACTTGTGGCAACAGGATGTACTAAAATTCACACAGGATAGCTCTCTACTCACCACAATTTTTAACCACCATGTAAGACTAAGAATACGTTTTTGTAATGAGTAATTTTCGGGTTTCAGAACTTTCAAAAAGGCAAAACATCAATAACCGAAATGATGTTCGGTATGAAGGTTTTTGACACCGGTATTAAAAGGTACCCTTGGCGAAACCGCTACAGAATTATCCAATACGCAATAACACTTTTTTTTAAAGAATATGACGAGAAGTAAGTTTGAGGAAATTACGTTTTTTTATTTAAATTTTATTACAGATTTGTTAATGGTTTGCGAAGAAAACTCCAGTCGGTGTATCCGTTACACCAAAGTTTAGAAAATCGAACAGATGTTAATTTTGCCTCGCTCAACGATACTCTCATAATCCAATATCCCGGTGAAATCAATTTCGTCGAATTCATTCCCATTACTTTGGCTTTTTTAATTCTCTTCCTGTATTTTTACTTTTCATTTCGCAAAATCGAATTAATTCAGTCGAAATTAGGAATGGCATTCACTTCCGTTCTGACCGTTTGTGCAAGTCTCACTATGACTTACGGTTTGTGTTTTTTCTTCGGCTTAACTCTGAACCTTGAAGGAAAAGTTGTATTTCCATACTTGGTGTTGCTAGTTGGCTTAGAAAATGTCTTATGCTTAACAAAAAGCATAGTTTCGTCTCCACTTCACCTCGACGTGAAAATTCGCATAGCTCAAGGTTTGAGTAAAGAGGGTTGGTCCATCACCAAAAACCTCTTATTAGAAATCACGATTTTGACATTTGGGATATTTACGTTTGTTGCAGTCATTCAGGAGTTTTGCATTTTCGCTGTCGTGGGCCTCGTGACTGATTATTTCATGCAAATGATTTTTTTCTCGACTATTTTGGGGATTGACATTCGGAGAAAAGAAAATATCGTGGAGAAACACAATTTGAGTTTTCGAAGTAGTCTCTTTCAAAGTCAGGTTTTCTACGATAAGTCATTCGGGATTCGGCGTTCAAAGTCGCACCCTAGACTCTCCTCGTTCCCGGCGAACATCGTCGCTGGGCAAGTCCAGGGGGCCCAAGAGAAAAAAATCCCGAAAAGATTGAAACTTGTGAATATTTGGACCAGGACTCGGTTCTTCCACCGGGCCTTTATGATCTTAATGGTGATTTGGATTTCGAATATCGCCTACAATAGTGGGTTTATCGAACACTTCATCTTGAATAACAGTTATTTTCATGAAATTGACGAACAAAATAGTACTAACTTGGAACAAAACTACTCGAGTATCAAATTGTTTCCATTGTTGAATACGAATAATTCGTTTATAAACAAAGTGAGTTACGTTACTCACAGCCCTCTCAATTACAACCACAATCAGAGTTACGATTTGGAGAATTTGAAGCATTCGGATTACGAGCCTTGGTTGAAATTATCGCCACAACACTGGGCCAGTATCGTCCGGAAATACAATTTGTCCTTGAGTGGGCATTACATTGCCGTTTTGCCCAATATTAAACTCTCACACGTGATACGTCCAGAGCAGGCGGCGCTTTTGCGCAACCCCCACGAGAAATACGGGGAAAAATTCCAGTGGCAGGCTTTGGCCGCAGCCTTGGACCCAATTGACTTCAATGGAATGGAGACAGGGACCAGATCGGCCATACCCCAATCCGAGCAGCCCTTTTACCCGACTTCTGTTTTCGCTATGATTCTGATAGCAATCCTGTGTTTTATCAGTGTGGTGGTACTGGGGTACACATTTGTGGTACTTTACCGGTGCATTTGCTCGCGGAACTATGCCGAATGGCGCGCGTCGTGGTTCAGTGAGAAGAGTGAAGAAAACGTCGAAGAACCAGTTTTGTTAGAAGCAGTACCAGTGGTTCTGGAAGGGCACCAACAAGAAATCGAATGCACGGCCACGGACGGGGTGCATTTAGTCAGTGCCTCCTTAGATGGGCAACTGAAAGTTTGGGATAGTAGTACGGGGGAATTGATAGTTAATGTAGACAGGAAAGCGTACTTTAGGGGGTTTGAATTGAATGGTGGTTCTGAGTGCGATGACAATTCGTCTGACTATGAATCGGGCTCTCCGCCGTCCCGAGGGGAGAGCTACTTGTTTCCGCGTCTCAAACAACGAATTAATACGAACTTTTCAAATGTTAAAGAACAGTGTAGCTCTTATAATGCCAAAGCAGATTTTTTGAAAACTTACCGAGAGTTGTATTTTTATCGCAATTTACCGAAAGCTAAAAATAGGAAAGAGATAAATAGGGCCAAAGAAAATAAATCGATTAGTTTTAGTGAAAGTAATCAAAAGTTTAGTGATAACGGACACACGAAAGTTGATAATTGTGACGCTAAACTCTCACCCATTTGGTGTATGGACTACCTGGAGAACTTGATCGTTCTTGGGTGTGCTGATGGGCGGCTGGAGTTCTGGGAGGGCAGTTCGGGACGGTTGAAGGTAATGATTTTTTAATAAATTGGTTGTAAGAAATATTAATAATATTGTACCGTGCGATCAGAAAAATAATAAATTAGAGTAGGCGGTGATTAAAGTCCTTCAGATGGCAATCCTGTTTTTTGACATCAAATGTTAACGGAAACTTTGACAAGTTTGCGTTTTATTCCTTTTGAGTGAAATAATCTCTACTTTAGAGCAGAAAATGTTTGTTGTTGTACAAGACGAAAATGGTGAATGGTATTTTCAGTTTGTGTGGAAATTTTCCAGGCCAGATTCCCAGCCAATGTGTTGCCAACTGTAGAATTTAATCGAGGCCTACTATAATTTATTTTTTTTTCGATCGCACGGTACCATGCGTTTATTAAATTTTTGTGACTTTGAAATTAAGTTGGCCCCATTGACTATCAAATTCAAACGTCACAATTTTATGGTCAATTGTCATTCGTTTCCGAGGGGCAGCCGCGGGCATAGCCGTCACGTACCGTGCGATGAAAAAAAAATTAGAGTAGGCGGTGGTTAAAGTCCTTCAGATGGCAATCCTGATTTTTGACATCAAATGTCAGCGGAAACTTTGACAAGTTTGCGTTTTATTCCTTTTGAGTGAAATAATGTTCACTTTAGAGCAGAAAATTTTTATTGCTTTACAAAACGAAAACGGTGAATGGTCATTTTCACTTTCAATTTGTGTGGAAAATTTTCAGCCCAGATTCCCAGTCAATGTGTTGCCAACTGTAGAATTTAATCGACGCCTACTCTAATTATTTTTTTTTGATTGCACTACATATACAGGGTGAATATAAAGTATGGAACCAAACGGTTTTATTTTTAATCATTTGCCTCCAGCAAATAATAATTAATATAAAGTAAAGTAATATAAAAAATGTGACCGTATTTTCAGAACGAAATTTTGTTTTGTTTTTGAGTTATGCCATTTTTTTTGTCAAAATTTGCAATTTATGTGTAAAAATTTTTTTGAAAAAATCCTTAGAGTATAGCTTTTATGAGAAAAATGATTTTATAGTGGGTTGCCATTTAATTTTTTTTTTGTAGAACTCAAAAACAAAAGAAAATTTCGAAAAATTTTATTCTTGCTAAATTATCACATTTTTATAGTACTTTATCACTCATCAATTAGTTTTTTCAAAAAATAAATAGTTTAAGCAAAAAACGTTTGGTTCCATACTTTTTATTCATCTGGTAGTCGTTTTCATATTAATGTGCATCGAAGTAGTCGTTGAAAGGAATCATTTTAAGTTGGCGACCATGCGAAAATTCATAGAATCCTAAACTCAACCCTCTCTAAAAATGTGTACACCAGCTTTTGAGATACAGTGGGGAAACTGGGCAGATGTGTCATTCAATTGTCAAAATTTTTAAACTATACCTTAGGTACAGTTGGAGACAAAATACTTTGGTCGTCACTTTTCTGACACTTTAATGTAATTCAAGCTTTAACGTTAAAATGAATAACAATTTCAAATTAATGACAGCTATTATATTTTCCTATCAAAATATGTACATACAACTTGTCAACTATCATTGACATTAGCTAAAAATAAGGTTAACAGTTCTAAAGCATGCTTTACAATTTTATGTCACTCAAGTGACATTGACGACCAAAGTATTTTGTCTCCAACTGTATTCATAACCAAGCTTTTAATGTTTGGCATATTTGTCTTTTTGACACTGACAAAGTCGAAGTTTTTGGAATCCCCAAAGTCACCGAGACTTGCCGCTGCGACATCCCGCTTTGAATAAGAGCTATTGCTCGAGATTTATTAAAAACTGATAAACTGGCATTTGATGTACTACATATGTCAAAGTTAATTTGACAGTTTTTTCAATCATAATGACAGTACGTGCATTTATATTGACATTTATTGAAATGACAAGAAAAGACAGCCCGGGATTCCGTGTCCCCAACTGTAGCAAAAAATAATTAAAATTAACAACGTAATTAACATCGGGTGCCAAACCTACAAATTTTTGTCATTATTGATGTGATTAAACTTGTTATTAATGACACTATTTATGTGAATCGGCCTTTAAATTAAAGATTCATTTACAATTCTACAACATACTTGATGCAATTAATATGAGTGTGTCACCAACAATTCAGTGTTGCCAACTTAATTCAAAAGTCACAGGCCACTTTGATAAATTTAAAATTATGATAGTTTCAGAGTATAGTGTTTGGGATTATTGTTTTAGTGCATCTTTGAAGACGGGACTGATGTGGGAATAAGCAATTTAAAGATCGTGGGATCCCGAATAATCGCATCCCGATTGTATGGCACCTTGGAGATGTTTCAGTTACAAAGTTACAATCGTGGTCATCCAGTTGATTGGAATTTTACTTGTGCATATCGACGAACTCATGTAAGAACTGGTTCAGTTGGTTCCGTCCCTGATCACAGCAATTTAATTTCACAAGTAAAAAATCACTTTTATCTGAATTGTTTCTACAAAATGGTGTTTTTAGAACGACGACAACGAAGAGGATTTCCGGTGCTTAAAAGTCTTCAGTGTGAAAGCCCACCAACAACCCATCATTTGCCTCGACTGTGAAGGAGGCAGGATTTTAACCGGCAGCCAGGATCACACTCTCAAAGTGTTCCGGTTGGAGGACGGCAGCCCCCAATATACGCTGCATGGCCATTGTGGCCCCATTACCTGTTTGTTTATTGATAGGATTAGTCCGGCGACTTCGGGGAGTGGGTCTCAGGATGGCATGCTTTGCGTTTGGGATCTACTAACGGGTAAATTATTCGAAATTGATAGTCCGGTCAAATTAGTCACAAAAATAGTGGTCAAATAACGAAAATTCCGACAGAGCTAAATTTTGGTGGAGACCTTGGGTACACCATTAGAAATAAAGTGTCAAAAGTTCCCATCGATCCCATGTGTGCTAAAAAAGTTATTTGGGGTCAAAGGTCAAAATTTGACATTTTTTAGATTTTTTTCGAAAACGGCAAGTTTTATCAAAAAAGTAGCCCAGACAAAAATTATAGATCTTAAAATTATCTACAAAATAGTCTTTATACTTTTTTCTAAGAATCACCATTCCTGAGATATCGCGATTCTAAAAGTTGAAGGAGTAACGTTTCTACATCATATGCACATACAGAGTGCGCCAGAACTCGCGCCCCAAAGACAAATGCCATGTAGGGTAAGGGACCAGGAACATAGAAAGAATTTAAAAAAATTCTATCTATAAAAATTTCAAAGTTATGAGAGTTTAAAGTTTGCACTTTGACTGTATTTATTTCTGTTGGAAAAATAATTTTCCAAGTTTTTTTGCTACAGGCTATTAGAAGAGGAAAACAAGGAAGCTGTATCCTAAATTGTAACTCTGTTCAACGTTATTTGTGGCTTTTATTGACAAAATTTTTGTACCTTTACTAAATAATTATAAAAAAAAAAACATATACAAGGTCATCAGTATTATTAAATAGACATAAAAAATGTCAAATGTCAAAAAAATTTGACAGATAGAATTTTTTAAACATTTTTTCAGTACTCAGGGGACTATCCAATTACTCCCTTTCAAGAAAGTGCGCGATTTTTTAAACATCCTGTATGTATTACCAAATAAATTCTTTTTAATTCTAATGGACTTGAGATATTTATAAGTTTAATGAAGTAGAAGAAAAATTTGAAGTAAGTTAAGATACCAGGAACATATAAAAATGTTTAAAAAATTCTGTCAAAAAATTTTGACATTTGTTTTTTGACATTTGACATTTTTTATGTCTATTTAATAATACTGATGATTTTGTATATGTTTTTTTTTACAATTATTTAGTAAAGGTACAAAACTTTTGCCAATAAAGGCCACAAATAACATTAAACAGAGTTACAGTTTAGGATACAACTTCCTTGTTTCCGCTTCTAATAGCCTGTAGCAAAAAAACGTGGAAAATTATTTATCCTACAGAAATAAATAGAGTCAAAGTGCAAAATTTAAACTCTCATAACTTCGAAATTTTTATAGAAAGATTTTTTTTTAAATTTTTTCCATGTTCCTGGTACCTTACCCTACATTTTTCTTTGGGGCGCCAGTTCTGGCGCACTCTGTATGTGCATATGATGTAGAACGATACTCCTTCAACTTTTAGAATCGCGATATCTCAGGAATGGTGATTCTTAGAAAAAAAGTATAAAGACCATTTTGTAGATAATTTAAAGATCTATAATTTTTGTCTGGGCTACTTTTTTGCTAAAACTTGCCGTTTACGAAAAAAATCTAAAAAACCTCAAATTTTGACCTTTGACCCCGAATAACTTTTTTAGCACACATGGGATCGATGGGGACTTTTGACACTGTATTCCTAATGGTGTACCCAAGATCTCTACCAAAATTTAGCTCTGTCGGAATTTTAGTTATTTGAAATGTCTATTTTGACCGGACTATGGGAGTTTAATTGTACTTATCATTGTTACAGGTGCCTGTATGTACAACATCCAGGCACATGATGGTACAATAACATCGCTGACATATTCTGCCAGTTATGTGATTTCGTTGGGCTCCGACGACCGTATTTGTGTTTGGGAACGTTTCCAAGGCCATCTCCTAAACACCATTTACGTTTCGCAAACCTTTGCAAGCCAGGTTTTGATGTTGGCCCCCCATTTGGTTGTCACGGCTCGTAGTGGAGGTCTTGTTATTTGGGATGTGAGGTCTGGTGAATGTGTCCGAACGATTATATTAGGCCGTTCACCGTACATATTTATCAAACAGTTGATGTTATTACGCGATGCGGTGGTCTGTGATTACGGAAATCAATTGCGAATTGTGAGGTTTCCTCTTATCACGCATAAATTTGACTAGGTTGTCTCTATGTGCCTTCAGTGATGTAACATACTTTCGTCTATTTATGTCTTGTTTTAAATTTTTTATGTCCTTTACGTAAAATCATGAAAACGTAAATATTGTAAATTTTCCCTGACATGGTTTCGAATACCTGATTATTTTCATTAAGTTATTTATTTATTTTGGCGGAAATAAATGCATTTAACATGAGTTTTTATTAATGTTGTTAAACACTTTTTTGTAACAATAAATATGTATTTTAAATAACAAAATTGGTTTTATTTTCATTTACGAATAAAACTCTTAAAATTACGAAATTTGAACCCCATGCTATTTAAAAAGGTTGTAATAGTAGCCTCAAAACACATGAAGGTAGGAATAGTAACTGGAGTCAAATCATGTTAAAAAAAATATGAAGTTGTTAAGCATTTTAAAAATTTTTGTATATAAAAAGGTTGCAAAAGTGAAAAATAAAATGTTTATTGAAAGAGAATTGATAATACCACAATAAAATAAAGAAGAATTCTAAGAATTATAATAAATAATACAATTGCGCACACGGAATTTTGGGCAATTTGTCATTTGACTAATATAAGAATGTAAAACGGGCGTTATGTAAGAAACTTTACTTTTAGTTTTTGTGGAGACCAATCAAAATAATTTATTGAACTTATATAAAAACACGTACATATACAGGATGAGCCAAAACTCGCGCCTCAGAGAAAAAATTCAGAAACATGAAAAAAATGTTTAAAATATTTTGACAATTATTTTTTTGACATTTGACATTTTTTATGTCTATTTTAATGATAATAATGATGATCTTGTACAGTTGCGGAATTAAAATTGCGGGCAGTATTTTTCTGTATCTTTAAAAAGTTTACTGTAAACTACCTTTTACTGTCATCATGACTGACATTTGACTATTAAACTTATTTCTTTTTGTTGTTAAAATAATTAAACAAATTGTCTGTCTTAGGAAATTTGTTAATTAAACTAAGTATCGCTTTGATTTGCTGCCTGTCCTTTATTATGCCACAAATCACTATTTTTGAAAGTAAATAAGTCAAAATGACATGAAAACATGAAAAAATGAGGTTACTAATGTAAAGGTTGTTTTAGAGTTTACATTATGCCCGAAATTTTAATTCCGCAACTGTACATGTTTGTTTACAATTATTTAGTAAAGGTACAAAAATTTTGCCAATAAAAGCTACAAATAATATTGAACAGACTTACAATTTAGGATACAGCTTTTTTGTTTTCTCTTCTAATAGCTTGTAGCAAAAAAAACTTGAAAAATTATTTTTCCAACAGAAATAAATAGATTCAAAGTGCAAAATTTAAACTCTCATAACTTCGAAATTTTTACAGATAATTTTTTTTTAACATTTTTTTCTATGTTCCTGGTATTTTACCTTTTCTAGGGCGCGAGGTCTGGCGCAACCTGTATATTGCTGACATTATTGTTTCGGAAAATCGACGCTAAAAACAATTTTCAACTAAAACTTTCAAATTGTAGTTTTAAACGTCAATCATAATGATAAAGCGTGGCTTACATTATTGATATTTTTTGAACTGACATAAGTTTGATGTCCAAAATTCCGCGTCCGCAATTGTACTAATAGTTGTGCTAACTTTGCGTTACGTTAACGTACAATACGCAGTGTGTAAATTAGACATTAGAAGTGGGGGGAGCTTACACGACACGTTTTCTGTCATCTGTCATTTGTAAAGATCATTTTTTCTTTTTTTGTTGTGAGTTGTGATACGCATTTGGAATTCAAATATTGAATGTTTGGTGAATTATACAGTACTTTTTTCTGTTTCATTCAAACACATTTTATATTTATATACGACGAAGTGATTTAAGAGCGTCCGAGCAAATTGAGCCCCACAACTGAAACAAACTTGAAATCATGGGGGTCCCAAAGTTTTTCAGATACATAAGTGAGAGGTATCCTTGCTTGAGTGAATTTGTGAAAGAATATCAGGTAACACTCACCCAGTCACAGACACATCTAAATTCTTGCTTTCAGATACCAGTTTTTGATAATTTGTATTTGGACATGAATGGCATAATACACATGTGCTCCCATCCAGATGACAACAATCCTCACTTTCGGATCACCGAGGAGAAGATATTTGCAGACATTTTCCACTACATTGAGTTTTTATTCAGGATGATTAAGCCTCAAAAGGTGTTTTTCATGGCGGTGGATGGGGTGGCTCCTAGAGCCAAAATGAACCAGCAAAGGGGGCGCAGGTTTCGGTCGGCGAAAGACGCGGAAAAAATGGAGCTCGAGGCCAAAAATAAGGGCGAAAAATTGCCAGATGTGGAACGTTTTGACTCGAATTGTATAACGCCTGGCACCGAGTTCATGGCCAGGTTGCACGAACAGCTGAAATATTTCGTCGTTTCGAAAGTCTCAAATGACAATTTGTGGAAAAAGTGTAAAATTATTTTATCAGGGCATGAAACCCCTGGCGAAGGGGAGCATAAGATTATGGATTATATAAGGTATATTCGTTCCCAGCCTGGGTATGATCCAAATACGCGTCACTGTCTCTATGGGTTGGACGCTGATCTCATTATGCTCGGGTTGTGCACCCATGACCCCCATTTTTCGCTACTGAGAGAAGAGGTCAAATTTGGTAAAAAAGCCAAAAGAAGCAATGTACCTGAAGAGATTAGATTCTATTTGTTACATTTATCTTTAATGAGAGAGTATTTAGAATTGGAGTTTTCTCCACTTAAGACAGCTCTAAAAGATTCAGATAAGATTAAATTTGACATCGAAAACATTATTGACGATTGGGTATTAACAAGAATTAAAAAAAAAAATCAAATAAATACTTTGTTTTAGATTCTTATGGGCTTTCTTGTTGGAAATGATTTTATACCAAATTTGCCCAATTTGCACATTTCTAATGGGGCACTACCTGTTCTTTATAAGGCCTACATTGAAGTTCTACCAACATTAGATGGTTAATTTTTTACTAAATCAGAATGTTGTACAAGTTGGATTTTTTTAGGTTACATTAATGAAGCTGGAACGCTGAATTTAGAACGGTTTGAAAAATTTATGAAAAAATTAGCAGATATAGATATAAAAAACTTTGAGGAAATTCAGGACGATTTGTTATATTTTGAACGCAAAACTGGAAGAAAAGCAACTGCGCATGTTCCTGTTAGTGTAAGTTTAAAGAATTTTTATGTACTTAAAAATTTTTGCAAAACAAAACCATTTCATTATTTAATACATGAAAAAAAATCTACTTTCACACCGTCGTAGTGCTTTGTTGTGTCTAAAACCTACTAAAAAATCAAAGAAAAGATAAGACTTCGAGTCACTCTGAAAACAGATCTCTAAAGAAAATGTGTTTTTGTGTCCATTCAAAAAAGCACAATTTTATTTCTTTGTAAGGATGAGAGAAACAATAATTTTTACCAGACTGCTTTACTAAAACCTAGAGTTCTTATACAGGGTGCGCCAGAACTCGCTCTCTAGAGAAACATGTCATGTAAGGTAAGATACTAGGAATATAGAAAAAATGTTAAAAAATCCTGGTCCAAAAGTGTGGAAACAATTTTTTTCTGTCGAAACTATCAATTCTTTTGGCAAATAAATTTATAGGTGTGCAATGGCTATAAAAATGCAGTTCAAAAAAAAATTGAATATTAATACAAAATGTTTCACAAGTATGTATTAAAGATTTTTTTTTCACTTAACTACCAGTTTTTTTTGAAAATAAATCAATAAATGTTTAAAGGTTGTTAAGAAGCAATGCCAAAATAATTTTTATTTTAATTAATTGTTTAAACTTTTGAGATTACCATATTATTAATATTTTTTTCTTAAATAAAACGGTTTTTTAATTCTTCTTCAATATTTATTGAATTTATGAAAAAAAAATTATAAACTTTATCTGTTGTCAAAACTTTCTTCCACCGGCCAAGGGGTGGTACGTTTAAATTATTTAAATTAATTATAAAATTAAATTTTAAATTAATTATAAAAATACATAATAATAAATAAAATAAAAAATATTTTGGCATCGCTTGTCTACAGCCTTTAATCATTTATCATTTTATTTCCAAAAAAAAACTGGAAGTTTATTAAAAAAAATCTTTAATACTTGTAAGTCAAACATTTTTTTAACAAAAGTGTTGTTTACAAAAAAAATGTCTTGTAATAAGCTCGTTGTCTAGAAGAAAATTGTTACTATGTTTATCTCATAAGTATAAACAATTAATCTTTTTTTTAATAGCATTTTTATATAATTTTTTGCCAAAAAATTGATAGTTTTGCCAGAAAAAGTTTAAGTTTTGCACGTTGACTATTTATTTTTGTTGAAAAAATAATTTTTCAAGTTTTTTTTTTTGCTACATTCTATTAGAACAGAAATTGTAACTTGTTTAATACAATTAATGTTATTTGTTGCTTTTATTGTCATCAGTATCATTAAATAGACATAAAAAATGTCAAATGTTAAAAAATAAATGTTAAAATTTTTTGACAGACTTTTGTAAATATTTTTTCCATGTTTCTGGTGTCTTATTTGAAATTTTTCTATGGGGCACGAGTTCTGACACCCTGTATATATGGGAACTCTACTAAAACCTAATGTAATTTTTTTTCACACAGTCTAAACCTGTTAAAAGTGAAAATGGCGATGAGAAAAAAATGGATCCCGCACTTGCTGACTTAATTGCAGCAACTGATATTTTGGTAAGTCCACATTTTAAAAGTTTCACCAAATACATTTTCGATGTAAAGGCCGTTTCATCCGACGAAGAAGAGTTTGAGAGTAGCAGTTCAACAGAAGAAGACGAGGCTTTCAAGAATTTCAAAGACGAATATTATCGCAATAAATTAGAGTTTGAGGAAGTGACAAGAGAGATAATGAGGGAGCAAGCAGAGGGCTATGTCCGTGCCATCCAATGGAATTTGAATTATTACTACAACGGAGTTTGCTCCTGGTCGTGGTTTTATCCACACCATTATTCGCCGTACATTTCCGATATTAAGGGTTTTTCCGACTTGAAAATCGACTTTGAACTCGGAAAACCATTCAAACCTTACGAACAATTATTGGCTGTGTTGCCACCAGCCAGTAAGAAACTTCTCCCACAGTGTTATCATTCTTTAATGACCGATGACAACTCGTTGATCAAGTCGTATTATCCTGAAGAGTTTCAAACTGACTTAAATGGCAAACGCCAGGAGTGGGAAGCTGTAGTTCTTGTGCCTTTTATCGACGAAAAAAATCTTCTCAATGCTATGAAACCCTGTAATGAATTGTTGACTCCAGAAGAAGCAAATCGGAATAAACATGGACCGATGTTAGTGTATGAATATACAGATGAGGATTTAGGGGTGTATGAACCACCGAGTTATTTTCCGAAAGTCGTCAATAGGGCTCGTTGTACTCCTGTCAATATCGAGGATATTAGAGTCCCCAAAGAAAAACTAGTCAAAGGGGCTTATCCTGGCGTCGTTTTAGACGTTTACTATCCCGGTTTTCCCACTTTGAAACACCTGAAATATGAAAGTAAATTCAAGAAAGCTAGAGTTAAGGTGTTTGAAATGCCCAGTCGTGGTGAAAGTTTAATATTGAGGATTTTACCAAGTGAGAAGTACATTGGTGATGGCATCCCTGTGGATTTACTAGGGAAGGTCGTGTGGGCGGGGTGGCCTAATCTCACAGAAGCGAAGTGAGTTATTTGTATTTTTTATTAAAAAAAAAGTACGTATTTTTTATTTTTAGGGTGATTGCTATTTCAAATCGGAAAGAAAAATATGTGTTTTCGTCGTCTGCCCCCAACAATTACGAAGTTAAAGTTCAAACGAAAAACTCAACGTTTGAAAGTGAATTAGAGGGAGTATCGCAGTAGTAAGTTTTTAAAAATTAAATTTGGTTATAATTTATTGTTTTTTGTTAGTTACAGGGACCGTATGGGTATAGATGTCGGAAATACGGAAGTACTCGTTCATGTGAATCTTCTCTCTGGTCGAAAATACGTATTTACCTCGAATATGAGAGTAACACTAGAAAAACAATTTTGCCAAATTCAGTCAAATTATCCCTTACAAAGCATAGTGGCTGATATCAAAGTCTATGATGAACATCGTAGTACTTTTCAAAGCGTTTCAGATGTTTTTTCACCCAATTCGATTTGTTTTACACTTTCAAATCCTTATTACGGTTCACAGGGCACTGTAATTTTTTCTTCTTTATTTGATTTTTGGTTGATTTTAAATTTTTAAGATTGTGGACAGCACCGAGTCGCTAAAAAACAATTATTTGACAGTATCATTGAGTGTCACTACAGAACCGGATCTTACACAAGCACAAAACATTGATAAATTAAATAAAAATTATTTAAGTCTTGCAAATTCGGCGTGTCAGTTAGCAATGTCGAATTATGTGTTTTCAAGAATTACAGGTTCTTTGTTTGTGCAAACGAGAAATAATGAGGGGTTGTTGAAAACTGTAAATATTGGTTTGAATATGAAATTTAGTAAGAAAAATCAGGAAACGCCAGGATATACAAGAAAGATCGAAAATGTGTGGTTTTATTCTGATAAGGCTGTGGGTCTAGTTAGGGAATATGTAAACAGATTTCCGGAAGTTTTTAATTTTCTTGCAAGAAGTTCGAACGACGAACTTGTGGCAGATGAGATTTTTAATGAAGAGTGAGTATCTCTAATTTTTAAAGTTGAAAAAAGGAAAAATATTACAAATTGCAATGTTTTAGTGGTGACGAAAAAGTGAAAAGTATTCAAACTTGGTTAAAGTCGTTGCCTATACACAATATTGAAAGACGTGTTTGCGGAAGTTCCGTTTTAGAGCCGGAAGTTGTTGCGGAAATCGAGAAGGAAGTCGATCAATTGAAAGATTCACCAAAAAATATTATAATGCCAATCAAACCACAGTTGCTCTATAAGGTTTTAGAAAAACTATAAATTGTATTGTCACTGTTTTAAAATTATTTTAGCCTGAAATTCAAACGGGCTTTTTGGCCCCTGACCCTCTTGTCGAAACTCGAGTATTTGATCGAATTGTCAACGTTCGAGAAGGGTTTACTGTTCCTTTAGGGCTCAAAGGGACCGTAATTGCGATTCACAAATCACCTAACGTTCTTAAAAACGAAGATGAGCTTTATGATATTGTTTTTGATAAAACATTTCCGGGAGGAATGGCCTTAAACTGTTCAGAACATCGGGGATATCGTCTATCGAAAATTTCTTTCATAAATATTTGTTATGGAAGAAGGAAAATGGAGGAGAAAACTGGAAAACCAGGTATTTCAAATGTGAACTTTTTTCGTTTTTGATAACATTTTTTTTGTAGGTGAACTAAGGGCAAGAGCTAAAGAACATAACAGTACAAATATGTATGCAAGGCAGCAAAATTCTGCTTTTGCATCGGTTAATAAAGTACAACCAAATTTAATGGGGCCACCTTATAAAAATAACGCTCAATTTAACACAAATCAGTATCCAGTGAGGCCACAAGTGCCCATACCGGCTTATGATCAACATAAAATGAAAAATTCGTTTTACTACATGACCGATTTTAGCCAAATGCAGGGGTCTAAAATTAATAAAGAAAATTCAATTACTTGGGTATTATTTTATGCTTGTTTGTTTTAATTTGCTTTAATCTGTTGTTTACAGAGGACTACAGAAATAAATAATCACAATAGGCAGACAAGGGGGCCCAGCCATCTTTCTCAAAGTTCTATAAATACCACTAAGGTAAGTTATGATTTTTTAAGTTGTAAAAATATCGATTTAAATGATTACAGCCAAAAACCGAGGTAAACACTGATTTTTTAAAGCGAATTTTGAACATTGATAATGCAGAGAAATCGAGTAAACCGAAATCAAATGTACCACCCCCACAGTGTGAATCGGTTCGAAATTATTCATCTTCGTCAAGCAGAAAGCAAGAAGTTGGTGTAAATAATTTGTTTTTATTATTATAAATCTACTATTTATCTATCATATTTGTTAGACTGTTCCGAGTGCTACAGCTAATTTATTAAGCTATTACCAGTCTAATGCATGGGGATGTCCAAGATATCATTACCTCCAACAAAATAATGGATTTGCTGCACAAGTTGTTCTACCTAACGGTAAATCTATATCAGGAAAAACAGCAAGATCTAGAGAGGAAGCAAGTGAGAATGTGGCGCTAGATGCCCTTCACATGTTAAAAAATGTAAATTATTTCGGAAAATTCGATATTTTTTTTACTTTTGTGTTTTTAGAAGTCTCCTAAGCCAACAAAAACGGGCCTTCCATCCGAATTTCCGGTGCCTCCAACCAAATGGGTTCAAGATCGTCAACAACACAACAAAATGTCATCGCAAGTTTTTATTAATAAATCATACCAGGTAAAGTTACTGGTTTATTTATAAGTTTTCACAATTATTTTCAGTTTAAACAGCCTGGGTATACTCAACATCCGAGAATGTCACACCAAACGGACTATAATAAAAAAGAGCCAGATTCTAGTTTCAGTAGAAATGGGCCAGATGCACCCTACACAAGTGTGAAAACACACAATTTCGTACCACTTCAAGCATTGAAAAAAAAACAAGTAAATAAGACTCCTAATACTGGGAATAAAAATGTCAATGACAATTCACCGCGTAAGAAACAAGAAAAAACGTATTTTTCAAGTAGCATGCAAAACGCTGGGATTTCAAAGGTATTATTTTAACAGAAAAAATTTTAATTGATTGAATTATTTGCAGGCTGGTGAATTAGATCAAAATGACCGTCGAGATAAATCAGGAAAGCAAAGGAAAACTAGAATTGCAGCCAGATTCAATCAATAATTTTAAAAACAAAATAATAGTTGTGACTGATTACTTCCTGTAACATCCTCGAATTTAGGTTTTAATTAGTTTTTAAACACAAATTTATGGACAGTTTTTCATAGGTAAATGTGATCAATACATGCTAATTATTTTGAGTTGTCTATATGACTATGAAACGTTTATTTAATAAAAAAAAATATACGTAATGATTTAAATCATTTGTTTACTCCAAAACTACAAAAGGTAGACAACATCTTACAAAAATTTAAATAATACTTCAATATTTATATAAATATGAAATATCTTTTAATTTCCTTAATCAGTAATTTGTGATAACACTGATAACTGCCAAAAATGTCTAATAAAACGTTTTGATTGTGGAATTTTTTATAAAAACAAAAATCTTGATATTGATAAACAAATTTAGATATTTTAGAAATTATTGGACAAACATGCTTGTAGCGTTGTTATTCATTTCAGTTCGACGAAAAAATAAGTAATATTGGTATCACTGTATTCCTTAAAAAACATTTTTTAATTTTTTTAAATGACAGGTCGTCTCGGAAATGTTCGTCCATTTCCGGCGCAGTCGGGTTTTGGTCTGTTGGTTGTTCGCATTCGTAAATAAAAAATGTGTATGATTTTAAAACGAAACATTTTTTAAAACCAAATTACAAAAAACTCCTCACAAAATGGTCTCTAGTAACATTGAAAAATTAGCAGAAGATTTAGAACAGCAAGAGTTAGAAGTAAGGAGTCATCATCGAGAAATATAACCTCAAATTAGAATTTTTACAAATTTGGCGTATTTTCAGGCACAGAACGGTACAGCATCACCTCAAGTTTACGAACAACTGTTAGCTATATATTTATATGAAAACGACTTGTGAGTGTGAACGAATTTGTCTTTTTGGTGTCACTAACGTGAGTTGCAGATGCAATGCAAAATATTTATGGAAACGCATCCCAGCTTCGGTAAAATCCTCCACTCCTGAGTTAAGCAACATCTGGGCTGTGGCCCAACACATGTGGAAGAGGGATTTTCCGGGGATTTACAAGGCTTTGAACTCGGTAACATGGTCGGATTGTGTGGCTAATATTATGAAGCAAGTTCAAGGTTTCTTGCTAATTGAATCACTTCAAACACCATTAATGATTGCATTTTACAGACAGAGTGAGAAATAGATCAGTAGACTTAATAGCACAAGCGTATTCATCAATAACATTAGACACTGTTTCTGCAATGACGGGATTGCCCCCAGACATTTGTGCAACGGCTTGTGTAGAGAGGGGCTGGCAAGTGGAAGCTGATACTAGAATGGTTCATCCTGTGAGACCGACCCCCCAAACTTCTGGCCAGACAAGTAGTGAAGATCAATTGTATAAACTGACAGATTTTGTATCATTTCTTGAAAATTGAATTGTATTTTTGTTTTTATAAGTTAATTGTAAGGTAATATAAATATTTCAGTAAGCCTTTTTTCAATTGATACAATACAGAAGCACTTGGTGTAATGCCAAACAATTTCTTAAAATAACGGATGACACCTTGAGGTATAAAACAAACCAACCAACGCCGCCACAAAATCACGCAATAAAAACTTCTACTGCTGATTAAATGACTAACGCAAAATCGTGGGGGCCACACATGAAGAAAAAATTTGTAACAACCGCCAAACTAGCTGTCATTTGCTGGTATACATGACGAGAATATAGACTCGTGAGAATATACTCTGACAAGAATTTTGTTATTTTTATTTTATATTAAATTTTACAACAATATTAAATTGTAAAGAGTTGTTTAAAAAAAAAAACGGTAGAATTTAGTAAAATAATCGAAAATTAGTGATTTTAAGCTAATTCTCGTAATCGTTTATTCTTGCGCGCCTTCATTCTCGCAATAGAAATTTGACAAGTCACTAGAAATTTGAGGTTGGAAACGCTTGACTTTGTGTCAAAGGCAGGATCAAAATTGATTTTTTATTTTATTTTCAAGTTTTGGGCAAAAATGGTGAACTATTTCCTCGTACGAGAGCACAAGTAATGAATTTCTTTCAGCATGGAAGAATCAAAGTCCGCACTAGCGAAGAACAAAGGTTGCAAAAGGAGAAAGAGCAACAGAAGAAACTGGCAGCTTATCGCATGGGAATGAAGCAGATCTTATCGACGAGAAATAAGGAGAATTATGATCCGGCTTCGTTGCATTTAAGTGGTCAGCTTTTGAGTGTAAATCCCGACATTTACACTCTGTGGAATTACCGCAAAGAAGTAACGTTAATGGAACTAAAGGAGAAGTAACTAATTTCAAGTTTTTAATTCTGTTTCTTACAATTTAATAGTGAAGCAGGTGCAGAGAGTGAAGAGAAGTCGATAGAGTTTTGTGAAAATGAGTTGAGATTGACTGAACAGTGCCTTCTTTCAAATCCCAAGTCTTATGGTTCATGGCATCACCGTTATTGGATTTTAAACCATCATCCTAAACCCAACTGGCAGAGGGAGTTTGATTTATGCACTAAATATTTAACCATGGATGATAGAAACTGTAGGTACTTCACTACTTTCATGAAACAAACTTAAAGTTTGTTATAGTTCATTGTTGGGACTTTCGCCGTTTGCTAGTCAATAAAATTGGTATTACATTGACTGACGAAATTGCTTTTTCAACAGAACGAATTAATGTCAATTTCTCAAACTACTCCTCTTGGCATTACCGAAGTACACTACAGTTTTTAACAGATTCTGAAAGCGTGGCTAAAGAACTAACTTTGGTCCAAAATGCCGTGTTTACTGATCCAATTGATACAAGTGCTTGGTTTTACTTGAGATGGGTTTTAAGCAATCCAAATTTAAAGAAAACCCAAAAGGACGAATTGTTGGGGGCTTTGGAGCAATTGCAAGAATTGGAGCCCGACTGCAAATGTAATTATAAGTCACAGACTTTGATTTGAGTCTTTAATATTTTCTCCAGGGATTGTTATGGCCAAATGTTGGTTATCGGGGAATATAGCAGTGCTAGATAAGGAACATGTTGAAAATAACGTTCATTATTACAAGGAGTTGATCAAGTTGGATCCGTTACGGCGAGGCCATTATGAGGATTGTTTGAAAAGTGTTGAAAAACTTGATTGATTTGAGTGCGATTTTTTACACTTAAGTCGAAATATACTTGTGATTATTGATCATTAAATAAATGGATAAGAACATACATTTTGTATTATTCTGTTTTCTTATGCACTTGTGTTAAATTTAGCTCATTTAAATAATAAAGAGAGAAATCGAGATAAACCAATTTATACTATTGTTGAATTATTGTTCATGTGTTGATTTTAGCAGTTCGGCTGAAATTTTTTGTTGCACTTTCTCTGCATCTATTTGTATCTGTGGACGTTATAAATAAGTAAAAACATGGAAATTTCAATGGATCAACTTACAGTTTCATTCATTGATGAAAACTTGTTGTCTTTTTCGGGTTTCCCTAAAGTGTCTAAATATTTTTGCCTTAGGAATAAAACTGTATCGATGTGTTTTATGCTTAATTGCTAAATCCAAAACCCTGAAATGGTTTTTAGTTGTTGTTTGCTTCATCTAAATTAAAAACTAGCATTCAAAAAGTTTATTTTATGCAACAGTTCGTTTTTTTAAACAAAACGACATGGTCTAATATCTTGTTTTTCTGAAAATTTTGTTTTTATCGATTGATGAATCCTTCCTGTTTTTTTGTTGAAATTACGTATTTCAAATAATTCTACTTCTAATTTAGCATTGAAGAAGTTTTTTTACACTAATTTTATTGTAAAAGAAAAAGGATACCTATCATTTTTTCCCAACAGGGAATAAAGTGGCGCTTTATTCTTTGGGGAATAAAATAAATGACACACTGATTTTCACTCTTAAAAGGCAATTGAATGAATTGAATATTGAATTCATTTGACATTATTTGACAAATTTATCTTTTTTTTTATTATTAATTGAGTTGTAAGTAAAGTTTTGTATGCATCTCTGAAATAAACATCGTTAATTTCTCGAATGAAAATGCCCTCGGCTTCCTTTACCTACATTGCCGGGATTAAAATAGTTGTTTTTTGATTCCTTTGACACATAAATAACGAATTTGTAAAGTTTAATGCTTAATAATAACGTCTATTTGTAACATTTTGTTAAATTTGTGGATTGACACCATTTTTCAAAATTACCTTCAACTTAATACAATCAAAATTCGCTCATTRAAATAATAAAGACAGTAATCGAGATTAACTAATTTTAAAACGTCGAATTGCGTTTACAATGACCAAAACTATAGTTAAATGTGTTGATTTTAGGAGTTCGGCTGAAATTTTTTGTTGCACTTTCTCTGCATCTATTTGTATATGTGGACGTTATAAATAAGTAAAAAAATGAAAATTTCAATGAGTCGCCTTACAGTTTCAGTCATTGATGAAAACTTGTTGTCGCTTTCGGGTTTCCCTAAAGTCTAAATATTTTTGCCTTAGGAATAAAACTGTATCGATATGTGTTTTATGCTTAATTGCTAAATCCAAAGCCTTGAAATGGTTTTTAGTTGTTTGCTTCATCTAAATTAAAAACCAGCATTCAAAAAGTTTATTTTATAAATTCAATAGATTTTGCAACAGTTCGTTTTTTTTTAAACAAAACGACATAGTCTAATATCTTGTTTCTCTGAAAATTTTATTTTTATCGATAAATGAATCCTTCCTGTTTTTTTTGTTGAAATTACGTATTTCAAATAATTCTACTTCTAATTTAGTATTGAAGAAGTTTTTCAACACTAATTTTATTGTAAAAGAAAAAGGATACCTATCATTTTTTCCCAACAGGGAATAAAGTGGCACTTTATTTTTTGGGGAATAAAATAAATGACACATTGATATTCACTCTTAAAAGGCAATTGAATGAATTGAATATTGAATTCATTTGACATTATTTGACAAATTTATCTTTTTTTATTATTAATTGAGTTGTAAGTAAAGTTTTGTATGCATCTCTGGAATAAACATCGTTAATTTCTCGAATGAAAATGCCCTCGGCTCCCTTTACCTACATTCGCGGGATTGAAATAGTTGTTTTTTGATTTCTTTGACACATAAATAACGAATTTGTAAAGTTTAATGCTTAATAATAACATCTATTTGTAACATTTTATTAAATTTGTGGATTGACACCATTTTTCAATCAAAACTCGCTCATTTAACTAATAAAGACAGTAATCGAGATTAACTAATTTTAAAACGTCGAATTGCGTTTACAATGACCAAAACTATAGTTCAATGTGTTGATTTTAGGATTTCGGCTGAAATTTTTTGTTGCACTTTCTCTGCATCTATTTGTATCTGTGGACGTTATAAATAAGAAAAAAATGAAAATTTCAATGATCGTCTTACAGTTTCACTCATTGATGAAAACTTGTTGTCGCTTTCAGGTTTCCCTAAAATGTCTAAATAATTTTGCCTTAGGAATAAAACTGTATCGATATGTGTTTTATGCTTAATTGCTAAATCCAAAGCCCTGAAACGGTTTTTAGTTGTTGTTTGCTTCATCTAAATTCTCACCGTCTCCAATTGTGCATTTGAATGTTGCTGTAAATGGCTTGAAAAACCATCCCATTGTGTAAGAGAATTGCTTCAGCTTCTTGGAGCGCTCCACCAAGAAGCGCTACTGCAGCTTTTTGTTGAATTTTATTTGTCAAACTCTAAAATTGATCATTGGATTTTTTCAAAACAGTCGATTCCCACCTTTGCATGTTGAATGTAAAACACTTTATCAAAATGATTAATGTTGGCGAAAGCTTCTTCTGCTATATCCATAACATCAGCACTGGACTGAATTGTCAAAACTGCAAGACATGCCCATAAAGTCTCATCATTTGTTGATCTACAAAGATTTAAAGCCTCACTCCATTTGTTATCTTGAATACACCTGCGGTAAAATTAGTAAATATTAATCACACTAGGAAACGCTTCTAGCCAACTTATGAAGTATTGATGGAAACGGAGAAATGGGGACATTGATTAAAGAACCATCAGCTCTCCGAATTGACACTGAGTTACCTACAAAATCACTTATTCTAGGGTTACGCCCCAGTTCTGGGGCTCCGTATTGCATTGAACATAATTTAAGAAGAGTTGAATTAAAAGCAGCAGTGGGACAATACCAAACAACCAATTGTGTATCTTGAATCGTTGCAATGATGTTAGCTTCTGAATTCCATTGAAACGATTCTGTTTTCCTTCCTGGAAAATTATAATCAGACTTAGGACAACTCTAATGTGTAAATACCAAGTTTATGGAATATTTTGTTGTTATTTCTTGCTGCAACAATGTATAAATCTTTGGTTTTGTTCACCAAGGCTAACATTCGAGAGTTTGGTGGTCCCCATTGATCCAAAGCCACTTGTAAAATGGGTAGGAAGTGTTGAATGGTTGCGGAGGACTCCGTGGTGCTCCTCACACTACTTAAATCAATTACATGGGCGACTAAAATTTAAAAATTGGGTAAAAAGTATCAAGTAATAAAAAATTGTACTTTTATAGTCTATAGAGTCTCTTACAACTAAAGTATCAGATGATAAACTAATATGAGTTGCTCTTAAAGATTCTAATCTCATATTAGGCCATCTGGGAGACGCAATTAGTCTCCCTTGATAATTGTAGATTCCGATGGTGTTTTTTTCAACCAGTAACATATGTCTAAAATTAAAAGTTTAATGTTTTTTTAATAATAGTGTCACAGTATTAACTTCTCGACTAATAATAATAAAATCACAGAACCGTCTTTCAAGTCAAAAATTGCAGGTGTGTTCCAGTTATTGGTGTTGTAGATGTAACACTGTGTTGGGGTGGTTGCTACCAAATGCGTATATTTAAGAGCCAATTGTATTACTCTTTCTGGTAATTCGAGTTGTTCTAAAGTATCATCGACAACATTTCTAACAGTCACAACTTTACGTTCTGTTACTGAAGCCGTGAAATTTTTGTAATGGACATGTCTTTCCACTATGTGTGCGAAAAAGACGTGACCATTAGCACAAGCACCGGCTAATTGAGTACCATCTCCAGACCATGCCATTTTGTAAACACAACCCGTCGTTGGTTTTTCCAGAGATCTGGACCACTAAAATACGGCTTGTTATAAACCAGCATTCAAAAAGTTTATTTTATGAATTCAATAGATTTTGCAAAAGTTCGTTTTTTTGTTTCTCTGAAAATTTAATTTTTATCGATAGATGAAGCTATACTGTTTTTTTGTTGAAATTACGTATTTCAAATAATTCTACTTCTAATTTAGTATTGAAGAAGGTTTTTTAACACAAATTTTATTATAAAAGAAAACGGTTACCTATCATTTTTTCCCCAACAGGGAATAAAGTGACGCTTTATTCTCTGGGGAATAAAATAAATGATACACTGATTTTCACTCTCAAAAGGCAATTGAATGAATTGACTATTTTGAATTCATTTGGCATTATTTGACAAATTTATCTTTTTTTATTATTAATTTTTTTTTAAGTAAAATTTTGTATGCATCTCTGGAATAAATATTGTTACTCGTAATTTCTCAAATGAAAATGCCCTTGGCTCCCTTTGGTCGTCTTTGGCATTACCTACCTTCGCGGGATTAAAATAGTTGTTTTTTAATTACTTTGACACATAAATAACGAATTTGTAAAGTTTAAACGTCTATTTGTAATATTTTGTTAAATTTGTGGATTGACACTATTTTTCAAAATTACTTTCAACTTAATGAGTTTACCATAAACTATGTTTTATTATTATTTCTTTGTTATTTAAATTTACCAAACTGTGTGGTGCAATGTCTTAAAAATACTGTAGCCTTGAAGTTCTTCGTGTTTAAAGCAGATTTTTTTTTCTTTTTGTAGGTAACAATTTTTAAAAAGAGTGTGTTATGTTGTCATTTTTACTTGTATACAGGGCTTTCATTTCAAAAGGAGCCAGTCTCAATAACTTTTGACATTGAGGAAATGTATTTTCAAGCAAAAACAGGTCCATTAGGATTGCGAGAGGGAAGTTCAAAACCAACATTAGTTATTTTTTAAGTTTCATCTCCTAGTCACTAGCCACCCCTACTTTAAAATTTTAAATGACACTCCTTAATTTTTAAAACATTTTCGGAAAGGGAAAAAGTGAGTGTATCAAAATCAATTTTTTTTGTCAATTTGTTTTTCATATAGGGGTGGTTTAATTTTTGAAATTTTTAGTCTTTGTATCAGAGGATTCAAGTGAATTTAATTTAAATAAAAAATATGTCGATTCGGATAGCGATGGGAGAGTTTAAAACCAACATAAAAAACGTTTTAGGTTTCATCCCCTAGTCACCACCCACCCTTACTTTAAAATTTTAAATAGCACATTTGTGGAAAGAGGAGAAAAAGCTTATCTAACCGTAAATGAAAAAAAAAATTGTCTTTTCGTTTTTGAGTTATTTTTTTTAAAGCTCCTTTTGAAATGAAAGCCCTGTAAATTGCACTTTTTTTGTCTTACTTTGGCTCATGATGCCTAAATCCCAAGTTTCAGCAAAAAATATTGTGACAGAATGTTGATTGTAGACTGCAAATTGTACGGTAGGCTTTTGCAGCTTGTAGAAAACGGTCTTTTCATACCTACTTGTCTCTAAGAAGTTGAGGTACAAACTCAAAGAAAATTCTCATTTCCGTGTCCTCGTCGCCAAACACTAACATTTCTATTTTAACTAATATTTTCATTAAAAATAGAAATTATGTGGTATTTTCACGAATGAATGCAACACAATTACAATTTCCCAAAATTTTTGAATGAAACGTGATTGGCTTCTCTATGGTTACGCACATTATAATAATGGCCGACATCTACGGGCCAATCATATCAATTCTTAAAATTTTTGAGTGAATTAAAAAAACTAAAGTGACTGGTTTTTTACATTATTATGATGGCCGACCTTACTCTGCCCAATCACAATGCTTACAACTTTTACAACAATCCTTACGTTAATACGATGTTAATTCCTTAGTAGATAGTTTTTTTAGAAAGGTATTAACACTTTATCTATAAAAATAGGTATGTAAGTGTGTCATTAATTATAAAAATCTTTTAGTTTTATTCTTCATTTACATCTACTTAGATAATTATCAAGATGTAATGTTTTCGTAAATTTTTTTAAAGGTAAGAGTGTGTAATTTGATTTTTATCATATTTTAAGGCTTATGATGCAAAAAAGCTAACCCCGGAGTAGTCGCACAGCCGGACCGTGTTGTAGGACGCGACAGCGAAAAGGTCCCCATTTGGGGCCCAAGCAATCGAGGTAATATGATTATCATGTGGGCCACTGTAGAACAATTGTCGTCCTTGTCCATCCCAAACTTTGTATTGGCAGTCCTCGCCCCCGGAAACTATAAGCTCAGAAGCCGGACTCCATGCCAAACACAGCACTAATTCTTCATGAGCTTTCCACTGCAACAACAATTCAGTTACTCGTCTTTGTTTAGATTAATATTTACCCGTAAAGGTTTAGTGTTCGGTGCTAGCTGTTTTATCACAATGAATTTACCCTGAGTGTAAGCAATGCTTTGACTGTCGGGGGCCCAAGAGGCCCCGTAAACTGAATTATCGCTGGAGACGACAATAGATCGTAACATTCCGCTGCGAGACCAAATCTTGATGCAGCCGTCTTCTCCCGCAGTCAGGAGACCTGCCCCGTCGTTGCCCCATTGCCCCACTAAAATCGCCCCTTTATGAGCCTCCACGCTCCGCTCTATTCTGCCCGAGCGGTTCATTATGTGGAATTTCCCGTCGGCTGACGTTATTAATACCAAATCCCCGTGTTTGCCCAACGTGCCGCTGGTCCTGGGCAAAAACTGCATGTCGATGGCGAACAAATCTTTGCCCAGATGGGCCACCTTCTTCGATTGGTTGTTGGAGACCGACCATGAAAGGAGTTGATTGTCATCGCTTGGTATCAAATTTTATAGCCCAGTCAAATTAGACAAATCGGTGGAAAAAATCCTAGAGTTGGATTTTTTTTTAAACACTTTCTTTATTCTTGGGTAGACATACCAGGTGAATAAAAAGTATGGAACCAAACGTTTTTTGCCTAAACTATTTATTTTTTGATAAAACTAATTGATGAGTGATAAAGTACTATAAAAATGTGATATTTTAACAAGAATAAAAATTTTCAAAATTTCCTTTTGTTTTTGAGTTCTACAAAAAAAAAATATTTTTTTAAATGGCAACCCACTATAAAATCATTTTTCTCATAAAAGGATTACAACAATATGCTTTATATTTAATTTTTTCAAAAAAATTTTTTCACATAAATTGCAATTTTGACAAAAAAAATCGCATAACTCAAAAACAAAACAAAATTTCGTTCTGAAAATACGATCACGTTTTTTATATTATTTTAATTTATATTAAATATTATTTTCTGGAGGCAAATGATTAAAAATAAAACCGCTTGGTTCCATTATTTATATTCACCCTGTATATCAAAAGTCCCTGAAGGTGGTGGGCGAGCTCGAGGAGGGGGAGGGGCCTAAAGGTGTCTTTTTTGTTTTTTTTGCTTATATCTCGGAAACCATTACTCCTAACGGTTTTTGCCTGCTTACCAAAATTATATCTTACAAAATTTCCTACCAAAATTTGTTGTAGGACTAACTGTAAGCGAGTTATAGGGCTTACAAAAAACATCATTTAAAAAAATGTGCTGTATCCGCATTTAAAACAGAATTAATCTTGTGATTTGAAAAAACTGAAAAATTGGGTGTAACACTTCATTAGAGAGTCTATAAACTCTTCCGAGTCGTCCTCATATTCTGCATCTTCGTCTTCAACTTAAACATTGAAAATTATTAATAAATAAATTGAGATTTCATGTTTCTAATTTTGTTTTTAAGGGTTTAAACTCTACTTTATTTCATTAAAATTTGAAAAGTGCACTTCTACACTCTCTAAGGATCATATTTTCTAAATTTAATGTTTTTATATCCCTTTAAATGTGTACACCGTTTTATTCCCTTCTTAAAAACTAATTTTCGGAAATTCTGATTTTAGTGCCCCTTTACACCTCTAAAGAATTTTATGTTTATATCTTTGTTTAAACATTTACACCCCATTTAACCCCCTTACAGATTGATTCTCTGTTTCATCCAAAATTTTTATTTACATCTCCGATTAAATGTTTACACCCGAGTCACCTTTCAGGCAGACCAGCTTAGTTGGGGAACGCTTTACACATATAAATAACTTACCATATACTAATGAAATGTGTTTCAAAGGATTTTTAATGCAATTTTATGTAGACTCCAAATTTGAAAAGCCTATGGTTAGTCCAACGACAAAAATGAATAGGACCATTTTTGTAGGAAATTTTGATGCAGAAAAGGACTTCTACAGAAAATTCTGCATAAATTAAATTCAATTTACTGTCAGTTTTTTTTTTAAATTACAAGCCTAATTCTGTTTTAAATGCAGATAAAGCACATTTTTTTAAATGATGTTTCTTGTCTGCCCTATAACTCGCTTACAGTTAGTCCTACAACAAAAATGCAAAGGACTATTTTTGTAGGAAATTTTGTAAGCTTTAATTTTGATAAAAAGATAAAAACCTATAGGAGTTACAATTTCCGAGATATAAGTAAAAAACCAAAAAAAGACACCTTCAACCCTCTCCCCCTCTTCGAGCTCGCTCCCCACGTTCGGGGACTTTTGATATATGTCTACAAGTGTAAAGAAAGCGTTTAAAAAAATTCCAACTCTCTAGGATTTTTTTCCACCGATTTGTCTAATTTGACTGGACTATTAAGTGTGTGCTGTTAGAAAAGTCGATTTCTTACCCGATTGAGTAAACCTCCTCCGTGCTGCTCCACCCAACGCAGGTCACAGGGGCTGAATGCGACGGGGTTTTAGCCAGTGCAATTTTTAATTTCATTATTTCTAGTTTTTAAAAATAAATGAATAATGCACAAAATAATGTTTACTTTGTGAACATGAAGTTTCGTTTGCTGCAGGGTGTTTGTAACATGGTTGGTATAGCAACCGCTTGGCAACGAGACCCCTTGTAATGCATCACAGTGTTGAGGCGTTTTTCATTATCCATAAATTTTGAACGGAATACACGATTTCTTGCAATGCAAAAATGCCACAAATTTAGAGGCTTCTTGAAACTTATAAAATTCTTGAAAGGGGAGATATTGAGAGTCAAATATTGCGTGAATAATGTATGAAAAACGTATTTTTTGCTATCATTAAAACTACTATGAACGCATAATGTGGGTTGAAATGAAAATTTTCCATCTCTTGTCGGTTCAAATTGTATGCAATAAAAATTCTTTGCGGGAAATTAAGTATAGGGTTGGTTTTGGTTTGTCTTGATTTTTGTCTCAGTCATGAGGTGTGTGATGCTTTTTTCAACACTAAAATCTTATGCTGTTTTTATGATGCATTTAAGCTTAACATTTATGTTGCCGTTTACATACGCTCTTCTATAAAATACGCCGTCAATGACATCGTATTTTTTAAGAAAATAAAATATAATACACTTATGTTGGAAATTTGACAGTTTTGATTTTATTTTTACAAATTTCTTTATAACAATTTCTGAATTTAGTAAAATCCGAAAAATTTTTGAAGACAACATAAGTTTTATAGTAACTCTTGTTGTCTTTTAATAGCTACATTTTTTTATTACGTTGTAATAAAGTGCTTAAGGTATGTGACGGAACATGAACGTAGTTTTTTAATTAATTAATATTTTGAAACGCAACTTTTACAATTTTTTTTATTGAATTTGTTCTGAGTTTGCATGATACTGGACTGGAAAGGATAAAAAAAGAGTCGAAATTAATAATAACAATTTTATTCGTCTGTTTTCATATCACTCAGTTCGTGATAAAAATGTAAATAGTAGTTCCTTATTTCGTTCATAAAAATTTAAGTTCGAACGAGTTTGTAAAAAATCAAAAAAACCTTTTTTTATATAAAATAGCAACCACTATTGTCCCAGGGGGGGGCAACGGCCCTCTACTGCCCTCCCCCCTGTGGGCGCCCATGTGGACCACTGAATAAACGCAACCAAAATAACATACTTTGAAAGCTATACAGGGTGTTTTTTTTTCAAAGCACTCTTCGCAAAAACGCTCTTTCTTAATTTTGATGTAAAATTTGATCATATTATGTGATACATCGTTGTAATCAGGAACAAAAAGACTTCAAAAATGAATCGAATATGGCGTTCATAAGAAAATCCAAATTTGAGTGTTGTAACTCTGACATCAAGAACGCCTTGGAAAATACGATGACAGATTTAGATTTCTTGTAAAAAAGTGCCTTAAGAACATCTTAGTTTCAAATTCATTGGGGAAAAATTACAAATTTTTGATTTTTTCCCAATAATTCAAAAACTAAAAATTTTCTTCAGATAATTGTTCAACATAAAAATGCGCAACTTCGCCCTAATTTAAACGACCTCGTCTCTCTTATAATAACTGAGATCCCCATGGTGGAGCTCAAAAAACAGACCCCCTATATGGCTATAAAAAATTGAATGTAAAATTATAAGTTGTTCAAAATTTTAGAATTTATTATTATAGAACCGGAGAGATAATTGTGTTTATTTTTTTAAGGTTTTTAAATTTTATATTAATTTATTATTAAATAAGAATTATCTATATTTTTATGTTTTTACTTATTTTTATTTTTTATTTTTTTGATTTCTTTTTCTTCAAGGTCAGTCCCATTACCTACTAAAAAAAACAAACAAATTTTACAGGTTTGACTTCAGAAGCTATAGATTCCAGATACAAATAGAAAAATTTTTTTAATAAAAAATTCCGATTTAAAATTAGCAATTTTGAAAACGCTTTGTTATTTAGATGCTTTATTGTTAAAAAAATGTAGCTTGACATTTAAAAACGTGTTTTTATTGATATTAAAAAAAGTATTTTACCCATTGAACAACCATTTTACCCACCTTCTCTACTTTTGTAAATCTTAAATTATGAGAAATAGTTTAAATAATGTTTGAAGTAATTTGATTCATTAATAATAGAGATATTGAATAATAAATTTTTAGGTGGAACATTCTGTATTACAGTACAAATCCTGTTATATAATGTACAGGGTGTTTCACATAATTTTACGAGGCCTGCGTCTGTAAGATACAATCAATAATACAAATTCCGATACGAACTCGATTACAAATTTTGAAAAATTGGATAATCTTTTCTAGTTTGTTCACCCTTTTAAAAATTCTAACATTTTTAGTTAGTTAGTGATTAAGATAAAAAATATTCGCCAAAAGGTCCTAAAACTAGAAACTTAAAGCCTTAAAATGGTTTTTTAAAAATCTAGATACAACCATTTTTCGATGACTTACAGCCTTTCAAAAAACACCAAAAAAATTGGAAAGATTTTTTGTTCCTTTAATTCTTTGGAGTAGTATATAGATAAACTAGAATTATATTCATGCCGTCTCTTGATAGAGCAAATGATAATTGTTTCTGAAAAACTGAAGTTTAAGACCATTTATCAAACAGACAACTACTGTCATCGGATTCCAAAATTTAAATAATTAAATGTGTATTTTTTGATCTAGTGTTTTGTGAATTTTGTATATTTGGGTGCGTACAAGCCTCGTAAAGTTGTGTGACACACCCTGTATAAAACTAAACATTTTGGTCATGAACATAAATTACTCTGTAATCCATGACTGAAATTTCGGGGTTTACCAGGTGTCAGCAATTTTTTTCTCAAAAATGGGTAGAAAGTGTATGTGAAATGTTTCCAAACGGTTCGCTGGATATTTTGAATACGAGTACATTTCTTGGATTATTGCCCTTTTGTTCGTGGACAAATTGCAATGGCCCTTGTTATTTGAGACCTCGCATTGTAATACCGCCCGAAATCATGCCCATTTCTGTCACTTCTCCATAAGCAACAATGGTGGACAATTCATTAGATTTTGCGAACAATAGGGGAGAGGGTGCTTTCCTCATACTCGAAGACAACCCTAACAGGACCGAATAAAGTGCATAAAAACCCCGCTGCGTCAATTTAATAATGTTTCCGCTCACACGAGCATTACCCCAACCCACTGTGTTTGTTGGGATTAAATTTTTAGTTCCTTACCGGAAGGAAAATCGTCACTTTCCTAACGGTTTTCGCTCAAGGGGAGCTTACAACTTTCACCACGCCAATCGAAAGAAAGTCATTCTCTGTGATACGTGACAAGAAAATGTCAACAATATTTGAGCTTGACCAACTGGATAACAAATTGTTGAATGGAAATAAAATAGGCAAAAGAATTTAAAAATATTACTCCAACTCAGTAAATTACATCAATATATCATATTGTGTCGAATATATTGCAAAATTGGAAGCGGCGTTTCCCTCCACAAATATAATAATAATCAATATAGTTTCGAGTTCAATAAAGGCTGTTGTGTGTGGTAAGTGAAATATTAGCATAATATTTTCCGACGTCTATATTGTATGGAATGTGAATCTGACTGACACTTTGCACCCCACTTTAATACTGATGGACGTCTGGATTTAATAAGCGAGGTTTCAGGACGTATTACATATGTGGCAGACACACAGAGTGTGTTATTATTTAATAATTTAGTTCAAACTATTGCAATAATGAATATTCAACTCCATATAACCAAACACATTTGATATTTTATTTATAACAATCAAAATACGTACAAACTAGGATAATATGTAGTTAAACGTTTCAAGTTTCAGCGCTTTGAGTCTATCGTCAAATATATTGCACGATGTTTGCATAATCCACATTTCTAGTAATTTCCTCCTAGACGTGCCGTCAAACTACAAACTCTAATTATTGTAAATTGCAATCATTCTAATCTAAGCGATGTTATGATACTTTGTTAATTAAACTGAAAAAAACATTGTTATTTGAAGCAACTTTTTAATAGAATTTTTCCGCGTCTGTGGGAAAATAGTGTAAAAATCAATGTTCGCATGAAGGGGAAATGCAACTCCATGTACGGCATTTCCCTAGGATTAAAAACTTTTCTCATTCTATCAAATCCCACTAGGATTTACAGATAAACTAAACCGACTTAAATTTAGGAAATACAGTCGACAGACTTGTTTCAACAGATACTGGGGCCCTAAAACTCTTATAATTAGATGTGGTAAAACCGAATTTAATCTAAAAAGTCAATTTCACTTAACACGAAACTTCGTGGATTAAGGAGCTCATCAAGATTTCGTACATTTTTAAACTTGGGTTGTGCATATTCGTATAAATCGAGGTCTTAATAGAGATAAAGCTAACTTTTTAAGTGGATATAAATCTTTTGTTAGTAAGGATATGAAGAAGTTTTAGAGATAAATTTTTAAAACAAACTTTGCGCGCAGTTAACTTTTTACTTTTCCAAAATATAAATAACGTATTAGTTGAATAGAACTCATTTACAAGTTTTATCAAAATTTATTCAACTTGTGTCTAACAGAATTAATTCATCCTCGTATAAATAAACATTAATTAAGGTTGATAGTCACAAAAGTTTCAGACTCCAAGCTTTTCGAATTCAATCGAAGAAAAAACTATTAAAAAGAAGTTGGAAAGAAGCATGTTTGACATTTCAGCAACTTCTGTACACCGTCTGAATATCCTAACAGACTTTAGAATTTAACAGAAAACTTTACACACCCTCTATGACTGTTGCAATATAACTAGTCATTCTTTCGAAACGCAAGTAATGGAGTTATTTGAGTAATTTATGAAGACACCCTTATGAATAATTCTTGTAATTGCTCCCTAATGCGAAGCAGTTTGTGTCTTTAACTGAGACAAATGTTAAGATAAGTAGAGGATTGCGTGCTGAAATGGAATTGCTCCCTAACCGTGTTTAGTAAGATAGCATGCCCGTTGTCAATCACCAAAGACTCTTTGAGGGAATCTCGCGTCTGCAGAAGAACATTTCCACAACGATTTTTTTAAACAATCACAAAGTAAGGCTAACAACAAAAATCTGAGACAGAAAACGAGAAAACAAGAAAATACAGGGTGTAGAAGTATTGGGAGTTCGAATAATCGTACTTATTTGAAAATTGGTACATACATTTTAAATTCGTTTTTTGGCGTTTTAAAAGGAATACTTTCTTCAGGTATTTTCAAATTTTGAAAAAAAAATAACAATCCTCAAAATTTTAAGGTTACTTTTGCAATAATTCAAATACCCATAACTCATTTTTGCAAATGAAATACCCCAATTTTTATTTTACTAAATGGAAGAGAATTTAATTCTGCATCGATCTATTTAACATTCCTTATATCAAAATTTAATAATTGTAAAGTTTTTGTTAAGACTGCGGGTAATCTATTTATCTATCTATTTCTCAATAAATGTCGACAATAAATTATTATTTGACAAATAGTGCTAAAATATGGAGAATCAAAGCTACTCAAACTTAGATTTAATGAATTTATTTTGTATTTATGGAGAGTGTAACAAACTTATGATGATGTAGTTCATTCAACAAATAAAAATAATAAATAATACTGGCTACTTGATAATTAATATAACTAATATCATGCGATCATTTGAATTGATAATTAGAGTAGGCTTTATTAGGTATGAAAACAATGATTACCATAGTTAATCAAGCTGAAGAATCAAATAATAAGATTTTGAACGGTAATATTTAATTAGAATACATTTTTCCTTAAGTTTGCACTAGTTTATCATTCATAAAGAAAAAAAAAACGCTTACTCTAATTATAAATTCAAATGATCGCATGGTAGAAAATAATAATTAAGTTTGAGTAACTTTCATTCTCCATATTTTTGCACTATTTGTCAAATAATAATTTACTGTTGACGTTTGTTTACAGATAATTATTACATTTTTGATTTCCACAGCAAACTATGCGAAAACAGGTGTGGCTAGTAATAAATTTTCTATAGTCTTAACAAAAAGTCACCATAACTTGAAAATTATTAAATTTGGGTATAGAGAATGTTAATGCACAATTAAATTCTCTTCTATTTAGTAGAATAAAAATTTGGGCATTTCATTGAGTTATGGGTATTTGAATTATTTCAAAAGTAACTTTAAAATTTTAGGGTTTGTTAATTTTCTTTTCAAAAGAGTAAAGATCTAGGCTTTCTCTTTCAAACGTCAAAAAAACGAATTCAAAAGTTTAAGAAATGGCAGAGTTACTGATTTTTAAATTGGAAGGTGCAGATCCAAAAATTTTTGAAAAACTCCAAATATTTCAAAAACGGCTAAATTTAGGTATAGGGAAAGCTGATAAAAACTTCTTTAAAATAACCCGATTGATCCAAAAACGCAGTAAAAAATATAGCTTTCTATTTAAAATAAGAAAGTTGAGACCGACTTCCGGTATAACCGGAAGTGCCGCCATCTTGAAAATATTTCCATTTAGGAGGACTTAATGGATTATGAGTATGTACCAATTTTCAAAAAAAATATGATACTTTTAATGTGGGGTTTAGACAGAACACCCTGTATAAATATCGTTAAATCTACGTAATACTTTATCTCAGCTGAATTCTTAATAATAACAAAATTTGATGAGTTGAACTCTGTCGCTCACAGATAATGTTTATAAAATGGAATAACCGAGAAAAAAACATTCAGTGCTGATTACAAAATGATAGTAAAGAAATTTTATAAAAGTTTTCCTTTTTTTCCGGACAAAGTGTATGTATTTGAGATTAATGTACTTTCAATTTTTTGATTAATTAACAATAAAGTTTCTTGCAGATACAAAATGTCTTAATATTTAGAAATTTTGCTCTCAAACAGAATGCAGGGTTTATAAACAACGATGGAAAAAGTTTTAGTAAAATTTTGGTAGCAAACAGAGGAGAAATTGCGTGTAGAATTATAAAAACCGCTAAAAAGATGAATATAAAAACAGTGGCTGTTTATTCCGAAGCTGATGCATATTCTGTAGGTATATGAAACACAAGTTACATTATGGTTATGTAGTAATTAACACTACCAAATTAGTGATGCAATGTAATGTTTATTTTCCCTCGGGGCTTTACAATTACCGAAATAAATAAAACGTCCGTGTTTTATCAAACTTTGATAATTAATTAATGTCCGTAATTAATTAATGTAGGATCAAAAGACCTAAGATTAAAAGTAAAACACACAATTGTAAAATTATTAATTAATTAGAGAAGTAGAGTTAAAAAATAACAAATGTTTAATTTTATTCTCTTTATTTAGCCCCATGTGAAGCTAGCCGACGAATCAGTTTTTTTGGGGCCATCAGTGGCGTCCGACTCCTACTTAAATATAAAAAAAATTATAGATGCGATTAAATTTACGGGTGCTGAGGCGGTTCATCCAGGTTACGGTTTCTTGTCAGAGAACGCATCTTTCGTTTCTCAACTGGTAACAGCCCCAAAACCTAATTACTTGTAGTTACTTGTCTAAATTAAAGGAAAATGAAAGAATTATTTTCATAGGACCTTCAGCTAAAGTAATTAATAAACTCGGTGACAAATTAGCATCAAAGAGACTTGCTCAAAATGCAGGCGTTAACGTAATTCCAGGATTCGACGGCGAAATAAGGGATGCTAAACACTGTGTTGAAATAGCTCGGCAAATTGGATATCCTGTAATGATAAAGGCATCTGCTGGTGGCGGTGGTAAAGGAATGAGAATTGCAAGAAACGACGACGATGCAAGGTAAGACAATATTATCTTTTAATTTTAACAACAGCAAGAGACATATTTTAGGAATGGCTTTCAAATGTCAACTGAAGAAGCTGCTTCCAGCTTTGGAGATAATCGTATTTTACTTGAGAAACTTATAGAAAGCCCTAGGCACATTGAAATACAAGTTTTGGGAGATAACTACGGCAATATTATTTACCTAAATGAGAGAGAGTGCAGCATTCAGCGCAGAAATCAAAAAATTATTGAGGAAGCGCCTAGGTATCATAATTAGAATACAGTATTTTTTCTACTATTTTATTTCTAATTTTATTAGATATAAGTCAGTCAGAAATGATTTCCCTTTTTCTATGAAATCAGGAGATTCTGAATTAACAGGTCTTAATGCAGTTTGTAACGGTTTTAGCCAATATTTTTTTTCTGTGTACTTAAAGGATGGCTATGTTAATTGTAATTTCACCTCAAACAAAATTTTATCACTTAATAATTTGTATATTAAGTGTAGATGATATTGAAAAAGCTATGCTAAAATTAAATATCAACAAAAGTCCTGGTCCTGATGGAATACCAGCGATATTCTTAAAAAATTGTTATAAATCTTTGGCTTTACCCTTACATATAATATTTAATCTGTCGTTGAGTAGTGGTATATTTCCAGCATTTTGGAAGCAATCATTTATTGTGCCTATTCATAAATCTGGCTCCACGTCCAAAATAGAAAATTACCGTCCAGTGTCAATTTTGTCGGCGATTACTAAATTATTTGAATCCATTGTACTTTCTAAATTATCTTATCAACTAAGTAGCCTTATAGTTCCAGAACAGCACGGATTCTTTGAAAAGCGTTCAACTATTTCTAATCTTTTTTCCTATGTTAATGAAGTTGTGGACACTTTTGGTCTTGGTATGGACGTACACTCAGTATATACAGACTTTAGTAAGGCCTTTGATAAGGTCAACCATTCCATTTTATTTCAAAAACTGTCTGTTTATGGATTTGCTGGCTCGCTTTTAGAGTGGTTTCACAGTTATCTAACTGATCGATTCCAGCAAGTAAAAATTGGGGGTCACATGTCAGGTTTATAAAGTGTGCCTTCAGGTGTACCACAGGGATCTGTTTTGGGTCCACTTCTTTTCATTATTTTTATTAATGGTATAAGTTGTAATTTTGATAGTGATTATCGTATAATTGCTGATGATCTTAAGATATTTAGAAAGGTTTCGGAATCTCGTGACATGTCTGTACTACAATCTGGTTTAAATAAGTTACAAGACTGGTGTGCAAATAACAAAATGTTTTTAAATGTTGAAAAGTGTCAGTCTATTGTTTTCAGCAGGAAAATCTCTCCATCCCTACCGAATTATTTAATTAATAGTACAAAAATTACAGTAAAACAGTGTGTGAGAGATTTAGGTATATTACTTGATAGTGAATTAACTTTTATTCAACACCTTGAATTTATCATTTGTAGAGCTAATAAGGCACTTGGCTGCATAAAACGTTATTGTCGTGAGTTTAGAAATTTTAATTCCATCAAAATGCTATTTGTTTCACACGTACGTCCAATCCTCGAATATGGTTCGATAATCTGGAATCCACATTACAAAATTCATGTTGGTAGGCTTGAAGCAATACAGTTAAAAAAATTTAACTATATAAAATGGTTGCTGCTTTATTATGTACAAGATGATTACAATATTCCATTAAATTATTTGTCTTTTTCTACACTTGAAATTGGAAGAAGATATCAGGCTTTATGTTTTGTTTATAAACTTTTAAATAATTTGATTAATGATACTTCAATACTAAATTTAATTAATTTTCACGGTATAATAGCAGATCAAACCAATTATTCAAAATTTCGTTTGCACATAATAATTATCTATTTGATTCTCCGCTAAATGATTTTTTAAGAATTTGTAACATGTACAGTGTCAAGTTGGACTTTTTTAATTTTAAATCCTTTAATAGCTTCAAGCGTTTTCTGAAAGAATTAGTCATTTAGTATTCTTTAATTATGTTTACACGTATATGTTGCTTGTTTTCTATTATAATTTTATTATTACTTAGTGTAAAGGATATTACCGTTAAATAAAGTTATTATTATTGTAGTATGTTTCTGGACAATGGTATTAGAAGGGCTATGGGTGAACAGGCCGTTAAACTTTGCACCGAAATTGGTTACTGTTCTGCAGGAACAGTCGAGTTTTTAGTTGACAAGAATCGCGATTTTTATTTCTTGGAAATGAACACACGACTACAAGTGGAGCATCCTGTTACAGAGGCGATAACAGGGGTCGACATAGTGCAACAAATGATACAAATTGCTCAAGGACTTCCACTTGATCTAACTCAAGAAGACGTAAAAATTAACGGACATGCCATAGAATGTCGAATTTACGCCGAGGATCCTTACAAAAACCTTGGTTCCCCCAGTATTGGAAAACTTTTTAAATATAGAGAGCCGAATAGGGTTCAGGGAATAAGATGTGATAGTGGTGTTGAAGAAGGCAGCGAAATCACTTTCTATTACGATTCAATGATCTGCAAACTAATATGTTTTGGAAAAAATCGACAAGAGGCTATCAAGAAAAGCATAGAAGCACTTGATTATTACGTTATAAGGGGAGTTACGCACAATATTCCACTTTTAAGGAGTATCCTGTGTCATCAACGGTTTGCAATCGGGAATTTAAACACAAATTTTTTATCTGAGATTTATTCAAACGGTTTTGAACGTCACAAACTTAATTTACAAGAAAAAAATAAACTACTAGCTATAGCGTCAGCTTTGTACGTTAGAAATGATTCGAGAAACCGACATTTTTTAAATAATCCCAAGCCCCACATTCACAAAAACAAATGGAATGTTGCTATAAAACTCAATAATGACACTCACACTGTACACATTCACAAACAAAGTGGTTTTGTTGTAATAAAAATCAATGATTCCAAACAGTACAAAATAAATGAAATGGATATAAATTTAGCTGAACCGGTGACAGAAATTAAATTAAATGAAGAGGAAGCTGTTGTACAATTGATTTCTAGAAACCCTAGCGGTGATTACAAAATTTCTTACCTTGGAACTGTCTACAATTTAAATATAATTCCCAAGAAAGCGGCGGATTTGTTACATTTAATGCCCCAAGAACTTCAAGCAGATATATCTAAAACAATTAAATCTCCGATGCCAGGTTTAATTAAAAGTTTATCTTGTAAAGAAGGCGATTGTATAACCGAGGGCCAAGAATTGTGTACAATTGGTAAGATTAGTGTTTTTCAGATTATATCACTTCTGGCCCATTATTGATTACAGAAGCCATGAAGATGCAAAACTCCATAATGGCAATCACTTCTGGGAAAATTAAAACGATTTATATCAGAGAGGGCAGTGTAGTTAGTGATAACGACATTTTAATCGACTTGGAATAAACTTTTTTCAACTCGAAAAAAGTAGCATTATTTCACATTACCAACACATACAGGGTGTCCCAACGAGTTGAAAAAGTCCATTAGTGACGTTTAAATAGTAGAATTTATGTAGGACATAGTCTATCGCCTAAATTTATTTTCAACTACACAGCGTGTCTCAAAAATAAGTTACAATACAAACTTGTGTTTTTTTTTAAATGAAACACCATATGTTTCATAGTGTTTTTGGATGTAGATTTTTACGAAAATGTTTTTAATTGGTCGATTTTTACTTAGTTTTAAAATAAACCGGTTTTTCTTGACAAAAACATGCATTTTTTAAAAATTTATTACACAAAGACTAAGACATCTAGAAATATTTTTTTCCTACCACAAAGAAGAAGGTACAAGCTGTAAGGTTTAACATTTTTTCAGTGTGTTGCATTTGCAAAGATAAAAAAATTAAGGCGTTTGTTAAAGGTTCAATAACTTGAAAAATTTAAATGGAACACCCTATTTATTGTTTCTGCATTTAAAAGATTATTAAATTGTCTTTCTAAAATCATTTACTTTTAGGTGTTTATAATCAATAACTAAAAAGATATTTAACGTTAAACATTAAAAAAAATTACTATTGTTTCAGTAGCCCAAAAGTGCACAGTTGCACAAGAGATGGAAGAAATATCACTTAATAATCACATTTGTGTTAAACTGAATCCATTATTCTTTATTTTTACAATAAAATAATTCGAATTTCAGTATTTCTAACGACTTTTACAATTTCTGGATAAATCAACGAATAAGTGATCCGTGGTGGAATTACTATGGTTGCCATAATATCAACAATGCTCATTTTAATGATAGGCATTGTTGCAACAATTAACATTTAACATTAAATATCATTCAATTTATCAATTCTAGACATTAGTTTATGTTTTTAGATAGATAATTTATCAATTTATTAGATCCAAAAATAAAAAATAGGGTGTTCCATTTAATTTTTGTAAGTTATTTAACTTTTAACAACTTCTTAATTTATTAATCTTTGCAAATGCAAAACACTAAAAAATTGCTACAGCTTTAAATTCTGTACTTTCTTCTTTGCAAAAATAAGAAAAAAATTGTTTTAGCTGTCTTAGTGTTTGTGTAATAAATTTTTAAAAAGTGCATGTTTTCGTAAAAAAAACGTCTTATTTCTAAAACTAAGCGAAAGCGACTAAAAAAAGGTTATTGTAAAAACATTGTTTTAAAAGACTACATCCAAAAATGCAAAGAAACATACGGTGTTTAATAAAATATAATAGATAATAAAAATAATAGACCATTTTTTGACTTAATATTCTTTAATTTAACTCAACAAACTGAATGTTGGAATAATTAGACCCGCTTCTGTGGTGTATTAATTGCGAAATGAAAATCGCGACTTGGGCAAATGGTAATTTTGATTAATGGTGAATTAAACCGAAACTCAAATAGGGCGAATGCAACCATGGCGTTATCCAAACAGTGAGAGGATGGTTTTGTGGTGACGGCCGTATAAATAAGACGGGGGCGCAGATGTGGCCCGCCGGCAGCCCCACGAAAGTGTTAAGCAGGATTAGAGCAGCCGCGTGCTAGAATTATCTACAGACGAACTAAAGTCCTTGTCCTGACCGCCAAATATTCCCTCTCCGAACGGGATAATGCCCTTTCCGCCTTAATGGATTGTTTAGTAATTGGATTGACTGTAATTCAAGACGCTGCTGGACAAGTCGACAAAACTAATTCTGCCCATTTTAAATTATACCAACAATGTGTTGGCATAAAACTTTAATTTTTAAGTTTTTAGTCCAAAACTCAAACTGAAAATATACAGGGTGCTCCGTTTTTATTGTTACAAATTTGAATAGGTAAAAGAATATTCAATTTTAAGGCAAAAGTGGTGCTTTTTTAATTGGGGTTGTATCGAAAAAACGCATAAGACCTCTTTTTTGTGAAAGCTTTGGAATTTCGAATTTTGTTGCTGAAAGTGGCAAGAAACTTCAGCCAAAATAGTTACAGTACATTTTTTCCTAACCCCAGTTTGAAAAAATATACTATTTTCAACGTAAACCTAATTTCTTGGCCCCTTTGGGTGACATTTTGCTTGAAAAAGGCAAAAAAATGTCATTTTTGACTCGTAATTTGTCTACTTTAGCAAAATTTTGTGAAAAAAATCAGTTTTGGTCTCAAAACCTTTTTATTCGCTTGAAATAGATAATTTTTTACCTAATTGATTTTTGGGCATGTTTTTATCAAAAACAATTAATTTTTTTTCAAAAATAGTCTAAAAACATCAGTTTCTATGTAATTATGACAATTCTTGGCTTGTTTGAGCAAAATGTCGCAAAGGAAAATTGCATTTTCAACAGAAAAGGTCAAAAATAATGCCAAAATTTTGCAATAAATAAACAGCTTTTAACTCAAAAGCTTGTTAAACGCTACAAATTGGTGATTTTTTAATTGTGAATGAAATTTTCTAAAAAAAAGAAAGTTTATAGTTCACCAAACTAAATCCAGTAAAACAGACCAAAATCGAACGGTATTTTGAATCTAATTTAGTGATTTTGTGGCCTACTTTAGCAAAATTATACAAAAAAAAGAAGTTTTTAGCTCAAAAACATGCGTTTACTCTCTAAAATGCCAAAAGTAGCATCATTTTCGATCTAATGTAGTAATTTTTGGGCCTTTTTGAGTAAAATTTTTTACTAAAATGCTCCAAAAATAATTGAAACGACAAAAATATTATCATTTTAGACCCAATTTGGTAAGTTTTGGTCTGATTGGGCGAGAAAACTCAGTTTATTAGCTCAAAAATGTATTTAACTGTTTAAAGTAGCAAAAATAGCACAATTTTTATTGATTTTTCGACTAGTTTGGACAAAATTTTGCAAAAAAATCGCATTTCTCGCTGAAGAACGTTGTTAAACGCTTGAGAAAGTGAGAAGTAACATCATTATCGATTTAATTTCGTGATTTTTTATTTTGTCTTGATGAAGTTTTATTCAAAATTTGAGTTTTTATCTCAAAAACATGATAAAACGTCGAAAAAAGCAAAAATAGTATGATTTTCGACCGAATTTTACAATTTTTTTTTCGAAAAAGGAACACAACAAAACAACTGTAACTTAAATTTTAAAATGATTTTACTAAAAATCGGTAATTTGCATCAAAAAAACGCAAGACCTTTTTTTGTGAAAAACTATGGAGCTGAAAGTGACAAGAAACTTTAACCAAAATAGTTAGAGTACTTTTTAGTCTAAACCCAAAATAGTTAGAGTACTTTTTAGCCTAAACCCCCCCTCCCTGTTTAGGATTAAAAATTTCGACATAAAAGTAATCAACTGTACCAAATTTTATAATTTTATCTAAAATGGTTTCTGAAATATTGGAGAAAATCCATTAAAACATGCACCCTTTTTTCAGGGAGTGTAGCTCCCTTACAAAGTATTTTTCAATACATGTTCATAGAAAACTTTTATGTTAAAATTGAATATTCTATCACCTGTTTAAATTTGTAACAATAAAAATGGAACATAAAAACACGTTGTAGTGAAACTTCTAAAAGACGGTGCTTAAACGCTCTTTATGTTTTTTTAGAAAACTTGTGTTAAAAATGTCCAATTTTTCGTATCTTTGTGATTTTGAAACATTTGATCATTTTTTATAGTTATAGTCCAGTTGAATGTGATGCAAAAAATCGAAGGAATTGTTGTGGCGTGCGACTAGAACAATTTAGTTTAGTAAATGGTTTAGCTGTAGCAATTACTAGAATTTACGATGTCGATTCCTATTTTCTACTAGTATACACACATCTGCCTTGAATAATTGGTGCACAGGGTCTCTGGAAAATCGCTTTGTATGAAATAATCCCCATTTGATCCGCATTACAGCATTCGATGTGCGAGCTTACTTGGTGAAGAAATCACATTTGCGTTGTGTTTGTGTCATTTTTAACTGACTGGATTAATTTGTTTATTGCGATTGCGATCAAACGTACAGCTAAATAAATTAATTAACAAAAGTACTATCGATAATATAATTACGCGTTTGATGTAATTAATTGCTGAATTCACAAATGTCAAGTGACTCCAAACGCAAAATGGATGTTTGATTATGAAGAATTTCAGAGAGATACATAAAGTATGCTAATCGTAATTTCACACGCTTGTTTGACGTGAGCTAAACCAATTTAATTACCATAATGTTAAGCATTACATTTTGTGTAAAAAATGGTTTTACTAACACTTAAAAATTACCTGGAATAAATAATGAAGTAATTTGTAAAAATGGCCTTCTCGCTACTTGATTGATAAATGTGTGTAATTCATTATGTAATAAATATGCTAGCAACCAAACCTGGAATGTAGAACACTATGATTCTCCCATCAATCACTAAAACAATAAATTCATTTCACCAATATTTTATGACTTTTATTAAATTTAATGTGTCAATATAGTGCGCTTCTGCACGTTTTAAATTAAAACATTATTGGAATTTCGGGCTTGATTAAAAGAGTTGGCTTCTTTAACGATAGTTTTATGCAAATTTTAGGATTCTACATCTATGCGTTAAACCGGTTGCATCTGAACAACTTATTTAACGTTGTTAAACTTTGTTAGGTGCAGCGGGACCTTACGGCATCGACGATGCAGGTAAAACTAGTTAAAAGTTATCTTGGGAACTTACGGTTTGTAACGTTACAACTTTAAGATTTACCTTTACTGCACACTTTCGAAGTATGTTTAAGTAAGGAGGCAATAAATCATATAGTGCCTATAGCAATAGCAATCAGATATGAGCAAGAGTTTTAGTGTCTCTTCGTCCTATTTAAAGAAAAAAATCAATCAATCCTTTTTTGTCATTAGTGCCGTAATGTTATGTTAGGTATCCAATAAGTTATTATTTTGTCTCTCAATATAATTCTGTAATTATTACATTTTTAAATAACGTAAACTACCCAGTAATTAAAATAAAACAGTATTTAAATATCCGATTTTTTCATTAAAAAAAATAATTTCAATGAAAGTTTAACTATTTAGAAAAAACTGTTGTCATTATACTTGCATTTGGTTATACTTACTGCATCTGGTGGGAAAAAAGAAGCAAAAAGCAAAGAAAAAAAAACACAGAAGTTGCTTTA